AGCGGTGGTAGTTAAGGGGCGGTGTTAGTTAAGGTGCGGTGTTAGTTAAGGTGCTGTGTTAGTTAAGGTGCGGTGTTAGTTAAGGTGCTGTGTTAGTTAAGGGGCGGTGTTAGTTAAGGAGCGGTGTTAGTTAAGGGGCTGTGTTAGTTAAGGGGCTGTGTTAGTTAAGGTGCTGTGTTAGTTAAGGTGCGGTGTTAGTTAAGGTGCGGTGTTAGTTAAGGTGCGGTGTTAGTTAAGGTGCGGTGTTAGTTAAGGGGCGGTGTTAGTTAAGGGGCGGTGTTAGTTAAGGGGCGGTGTTAGTTAAGGTGCGGTGTTAGTTAAGGGGCGGTGTTAGTTAAGGGGCGGTGTTAGTTAAGGGGCGGTGTTAGTTAAGGGGCTGTGTTAGTTAAGGGGCGGTGTTAGTTAAGGTGCGGTGTTAGTTAAGGGGCGGTGTTAGTTAAGGTGCGGTGTTAGTTAAGGGGCGGTGTTAGTTAAGGTGCTGTGTTAGTTAAGGGGCTGTGTTAGTTAAGGGGCGGTGTTAGTTAAGGTGCGGTGTTAGTTAAGGGGCGGTGTTAGTTAAGGAGCGGTGTTAGTTAAGGGGCTGTGTTAGTTAAGGGGCGGTGTTAGTTAAGGGGCGGTGTTAGTTAAGGTGCTGTGTTAGTTAAGGGGCTGTGTTAGTTAAGGAGCGGTGTTAGTTAAGGGGCTGTGTTAGTTAAGGAGCGGTGTTAGTTAAGGGGCTGTGTTAGTTAAGGGGCGGTGTTAGTTAAGGTGCGGTGTTAATTAAGGTCCTGTGTTAGTTAAGGTGCGGTGTTAGTTAAGGGGCTGTGTTAGTTAAGGTGCGGTGTTAGTTAAGGTGCGGGTATTAGTTAAGGGACCGGTGTTAGTTAAGGGGCCGGTGTTAGTTAACGTGCTGTGTTAGTTAAGGTGCGGTGTTAGTTAAGGGGCGGTGTTAGTTAAGGTGCGGTGTTAGTTAAGGTGCGGTGTTAGTTAAGGTGCGGTGTTAGTTAAGGGGCGGTGTTAGTTAAGGTGCTGTGTTAGTTAAGGGGCGGTGTTAGTTAAGGTGCTGTGTTAGTTAAGGTGCTGTGTTAGTTAAGGTGCTGTGTTAGTTAAGGTGCTGTGTTAGTTAAGGGGCGGTGTTAGTTAAGGTGCTGTGTTAGTTAAGGTGCTGTGTTAGTTAAGGGGCGGTGTTAGTTAAGGTGCGGTGTTAGTTAAGGTGCGGTGTTAGTTAAGGTGCGGTGTTAGTTAAGGGGCTGTGTTAGTTAAGGTGCGGTGTTAGTTAAGGTGCGGTGTTAGTTAAGGTGTTGTGTTAGTTAAGGGGCGGTGTTAGTTAAGGTGTTGTGTTAGTTAAGGGGCGGTGTTAGTTAAGGTGCTGTGTTAGTTAAGGGGCGGTGTTAGTTAAGGTGCTGTGTTAGTTAAGGGGCGGTGTTAGTTAAGGTGCTGTGTTAGTTAAGGTGCTGTGTTAGTTAAGGGGCGGTGTTAGTTAAGGTGCGGTGTTAGTTAAGGTGCGGTGTTAGTTAAGGTGCGGTGTTAGTTAAGGGGCTGTGTTAGTTAAGGTGCGGTGTTAGTTAAGGTGCGGTGTTAGTTAAGGTGTTGTGTTAGTTAAGGGGCGGTGTTAGTTAAGGTGTTGTGTTAGTTAAGGGGCGGTGTTAGTTAAGGTGCTGTGTTAGTTAAGGGGCGGTGTTAGTTAAGGGGCGGTGTTAGTTAAGGTGCGGTGTTAGTTAAGGGGCTGTGTTAGTTAAGGTGCTGTGTTAGTTAAGGGGCGGTGTTAGTTAAGGGGCGGTGTTAGTTAAGGTGCGGTGTTAGTTAAGGTGCGGTGTTAGTTAAGGTGCGGTTTTAGTTAAGGTGCTGTGTTAGTTAAGGTGCGGTGTTAGTTAAGGTGCGGTGTTAGTTAAGGTCCTGTGTTAGTTAAGGTGCTGTGTTAGTTAAGGTGCTGTGTTAGTTAAGGTGCTGTGTTAGTTAAGGTGTGGTGTTAGTTAAGGTGCGGTGTTAGTTAAGGGGCGGTGTTAGTTAAGGTGCTGTGTTAGTTAAGGTGCTGTGTTAGTTAAGGTGCTGTGTTAGTTAAGGTGCTGTGTTAGTTAAGGTGCGGTGTTAGTTAAGGTGCGGTGTTAGTTAAGGTGCTGTGTTAGTTAAGGTGCTGTGTTAGTTAAGGTGCTGTGTTAGTTAAGGTGCTGTGTTAGTTAAGGTGCGGTGTTAGTTAAGGTGCGGTGTTAGTTAAGGGGCGGTGTTAGTTAAGGGGCGGTGTTAGTTAAGGTGCTGTGTTAGTTAAGGTGCGGTGTTAGTTAAGGTGCGGTGTTAGTTAAGGTGCGGTGTTAGTTAAGGTGCGGTGTTAGTTAAGGGGCGGTGTTAGTTAAGGAGCGGTGTTAGTTAAGGGGCGGTGTTAGTTAAGGGGCGGTGTTAGTTAAGGTGCTGTGTTAGTTAAGGGGCGGTGTTAGTTAAGGTGCGGTGTTAGTTAAGGTGCTGTGTTAGTTAAGGTGCTGTGTTAGTTAAGGTGCTGTGTTAGTTAAGGGGCGGTGTTAGTTAAGGTGCTGTGTTAGTTAAGGGGCGGTGTTAGTTAAGGTGCGGTGTTAGTTAAGGTGCTGTGTTAGTTAAGGTGCTGTGTTAGGTAATGGGCTGTGTTAGTTAAGGTGCGGTGTTAGTTAAGGGGCGGTGTTAGTTAAGGTGCGGTGTTAGTTAAGGAGCGGTGTTAGTTAAGGTGCGGTGTTAGTTAAGGGGCGGTGTTAGTTAAGGAGCGGTGTTAGTTAAGGTGCGGTGTTAGTTAAGGGGCGGTGTTAGTTAAGGTGCGGTGTTAGTTAAGGGGCGGTGTTAGTTAAGGGGCGGTGTTAGTTAAGGGGCTGTGTTAGTTAAGGGGGCGGTGTTAGTTAAGGTGCGGTGTTAGTTAAGGGGCTGTGAAAGTTAAGGGGCGGTGTTAGTTAAGGGGCGGTGTTAGTTAAGGTGCTGTGTTAGTTAAGGGGCGGTGTTAGTTAAGGTGTGGTGTTAGTTAAGGTGCTGTGTTAGTTAAGGGGCGGTGTTAGTTAAGGTGCGGTGTTAGTTAAGGTCCTGTGTTAGTTAAGGTGCGGTGTTAGTTAAGGGGCTGTGTTAGTTAAGGTGCGGTGTTAGTTAAGGGGCTGTGTTAGTTAAGGTGCGGTGTTAGTTAAGGGGCCGGTGTTAGTTAAGGGGCCGGTGTTAGTTAACGTGCTGTGTTAGTTAAGGTGCGGTGTTAGTTAAGGTGCGGTGTTAGTTAAGGTGCGGTGTTAGTTAAGGGGCGGTGTTAGTTAAGGGGCAGTGTTAGTTAAGGGGCGGTGTTAGTTAAGGTGCTTAGTTAAGGGGCCGGTGTTAGTTAAGGTGCGGTGTTAGTTAAGGTGCGGTGTTAGTTAAGGTGCGGTGTTAGTTAAGGGGCCGGTGTTAGTTAAGGGGCCGGTGTTAGTTAAGGTGCTGCGTTAGTTAAGGTGCGGTGTTAGTTAAGGAGCGGTGTTAGTTAAGGTGCGGTGTTAGTTAAGGTGCGGTGTTAGTTAAGGTGCTGCGTTAGTTAAGGTGCGGTGTTAGTTAAGGTGCGGTGTTAGTTAAGGGGCGGTGTTAGTTAAGGTGCGGTGTTAGTTAAGGGGCGGTGTTAGTTAAGGTGCTGTGTTAGTTAAGGTGCGGTGTTAGTTAAGGGGCGGTGTTAGTTAAGGTGCGGTGTTAGTTAAGGGGCGGTGTTAGTTAAGGTGCGGTGTTAGTTACGGTGCTGTGTTAGTTAAGGTGCTGTGTTAGTTAAGGGGCGGTGTTAGTTAAGGTGCGGTGTTACTTAAGGGGCGGTGTTAGTTAAGGGGCGGTGTTAGTTAAGGTGCGATGTTAGTTAAGGCGCGGTGTTAGTTAAGGGGCGGTGTTAGTTAAGGGGCGGTGTTAGTTAAGGTGCGGTGTTAGTTAAGGGGCGGTGTTAGTTAAGGTGCGGTGTTAGTTAAGGTGCTGTGTTAGTTAAGGTGCGGTGTTAGTTAAGGGGCGGTGTTAGTTAAGGTGCGGTGTTAGTTAAGGTGCGGTGTTAGTTAAGGGGCGGTGTTAGTTAAGGTGCGGTTTTAGTTAAGGTGCGGTGTTAGTTAAGGGGCGGTGTTAGTTAAGGTGCGGTGTTAGTTAAGGTGCGGTTTTAGTTAAGGTGCGGTGTTAGTTAAGGGGCGGTGTTAGTTAAGGTGCGGTGTTAGTTAAGGTGCGGTGTTAGTTAAGGTGCGGTGTTAGTTAAGGTGCGGTGTTAGTTAAGGGGCGGTGTTAGTTAAGGGGCTGTGTTAGTTAAGGTGCTGTGTTAGTTAAGGGGCGGTGTTAGTTAAGGGGGCGGTGTTAGTTAAGGGGCGGTGTTAGTTAAGGAGCGGTGTTAGTTAAGGGGGCGGTGTTAGTTAAGGTGCGGTGTTAGTTAAGGTGCGGTGTTAGTTAAGGGGCGGTGTTACTTAAGGTGCGGTGTTAGTTAATGGGCGGTGTTAGTTAAGGTGCTGTGTTAGTTAAGGTGTGGTGTTAGTTAAGGTGCAGTGTTAGTTAAGGGGCGGTGTTAGTTAAGGGGGCGGTGTTAGTCAAGGGGCGGTATTAGTTAAGGTGCGGTGTTAGTTAAGGGGCGGTGTTAGTTAAGGTGCTGTGTTAGTTAAGGTGCGGTGTTAGTTAAGGTGCGGTGTTAGTTAAGGTGCTGTGTTAGTTAAAAGGGGCGGTGTTAGTTAAGGGGGCGGTGTTAGTTAAGGTGCGGTGTTAGTTAAGGGGCGGTGTTAGTTAAAAGGGGCGGTGTTAGTTAAGGGGGCGGTGTTAGTTAAGGGGCGGTGTTAGTTAAGGTGCGGTGTTAGTTAAGGGGCGGTGTTAGTTAAGGTGCTGTGTTAGTTAAGGTGCGGTGTTAGTTAAGGTGCGGTGTTAGTTAAGGTGCTGTGTTAGTTAAAAGGGGCGGTGTTAGTTAAGGGGGCGGTGTTAGTTAAGGTGCGGTGTTAGTTAAGGGGCGGTGTTAGTTAAAAGGGGCGGTGTTAGTTAAGGGGGCGGTGTTAGTTAAGGGGCGGTGTTAGTTAAAAGGGGCGGTGGAGCAGCGCTGGTGCGTTGCGTACCCGTTTCACAGGAGAGGCCGGTCCATCCGCGGGGGCACGAGCAGGCGCCCGTGACAGGATCGCAGCGCCCGGAGTTCTGGCACGAGCACTTGTGCACGCAGCCAGGCCCAAACCGCCCGGCGGGACAAACTAAAGAGAGACAGAGACAGAGATGAACCCCCGAAGAGCCTTTCTCAGACTGTTGGGCGAGGGCTGTAAGCGTGCACCTCTGAAATCCGGCACGGCGCACGGGGCGGCTGGGGCGAGGGGGCAAACACCGCGCCTTTGTCTCCCCAGTGCTGATGATATTTACACATCGTAAAAATGTACTCATTTAAGGATTGTCGACCTAGGGGAGGCCCAGGACCAGTACAGGTGTTTCGGTTCGTAGCGCACTGCACTAACCATTGCCGCAATACCTCCTAACTAAACTCGCACAGATGCACACAACAGCTGCACTGATATCTATGCAAATCGCCTGGCATATCATGTTGTAGTGTAGGCTTTATTATCTAATTCATTGTTATGGTTGATTACCCAGGAGAGCCTCACTGAGTCCGAAGACCATTTTTACAGGAACTTCTTGCTAAACTTTATCAGTCGGGGGTGATATTGCCCGAGTAATGTGCAGGTAATTTTTCAGCGTTGGGGATGTTTGGCCAGAGTCAGTTGCACCGCACGCTTGTTTTTAGCCATTGAAAGAAATCAGAGAGACCGGAGGAAACCCGTGCAAAATGGGTTAGAACACACAAAGTCATTTCTTGAGAACAGGTTTTTTTATGGTCAGTTTGTCGTCCTTCCCCCGGCGCTTCCGATTCGCACGCTGGGCTACGTACGGCGCGAAAGAAGTTCAACAAGCGAACAGACACGGAAGGGCGGCCCAAGTCCAGAATCTAACCACGCCCTTTCTTGCTGCGAGGCCACTCCACCACACTGCCGTCACATAACACCGTAACGTATATGTCACAGCTCCCTCCGTCGCTCGAGAGCTCCGTTGTTGCTCTCCTCTCGTCACATCAACTAACCCGGAACACCGAGACCCACGAGCCATTATCCCCGCATCTCATCGCACTCTGGCTTCTTTCGACTGCTTCCGCATGTAGACGTGGAGACGCATGTAGACATGGAGACGCATGTATACACATGTAGACACATGTAGACATGTTTATACATGTAGACATGTTTAGACATGTAGACGCATGTAGACATGTAGACGCATTTAGACATGTACAGTGAGGGAAAAAAGTATTTGATCCCCTGCTGATTTTGTACGTTTGCCCACTGACAAAGAAATCATCAGTCTATAATTTTAATGATAGGTTTATTTGAACAGTGAGAGACAGAATGACAACCACAAAATCCAGAAAAACGCATGTCAAAAATGTTATAAATTGATTTGCATTTTTATGAGGGAAATAAGTATTTGACCCCCTCTCAATCAGAAAGATTTCTGGCTCCCAGGTGTATTTTATACAGGTAACGAGCTGAGATTAGGAGCACACTCTTAAAGGGAGTGTTCCTGATCTCAGCTTGTTACCTGTATAAAAGACACCTGTCCACAGAAGCAATCAATCAATCAGATTCCAAACTCTCCACCATGGCCAAGACCAAAGAGCTCTCCAAGGATGTCAGGGACAAGAATGTAGACCTACACAAGGCTGGAATGGGCTACAAGACCATTGCCAAGCAGCTTGGTGAGAAGGTGACAACAGTTGGTGTGATTATTCGCAAATGGAAGAAACACAAAAGAACTGTCAATCTCCCTCAGCCTGGGGCTCCATGCAAGATCTCACCTCGTGGAGTTGCAATGATGATGAGAATGGTGAGGAATCAGCCCAGAACTACACGGGAGGATCTTGTCAATGATCTCAAGGCAGCTGGGACCATAGTCACCAAGATAACAATTGGTAACACACTACGCTGTGAAGGACTGAAATCCTACAGCACCCGCAAGGTCCCTCTGCTCAAGAAAGCACATAACATGCCCTTCTGAAGTTTGCCAATGAACATCTGAATGATTCAGAGGACAACTGGGTGAAAGTGTTGTGGCCAGATGAGACCAAAATGGAGCTCTTTGGCATCAACTCAACTCGCCGTATTTGGAGGAGGAATGCTGCCTATGTCCCCAAGAACACCATCCCACCGTCAAACATGGAGGTGGAAACATTATGCTTTGGGGGTGTTTTTCTGCTAAGGGGACAGGACAACTTCACCGCATTAAAGGGACGATGGACAGGGCCATGTACCGTCAAATATTGGCTGAGAACCTCCTTTCCTCAGCCAGGGCATTGAAAATGGGTCGTGGATGGAAATTCCAGCATCACAATGACCCAAAACACACGGCCAAGGCAACAAAGGAGTGGCTCAAGAAGAAGCACATTAAGTTCCTGGAGTGGCCTAGCTAGTCTCCAGACCTTAATCCCATAGAAAATCTGTGGAGGGAGCTGAAGGTTCGAGTTGCCAAACGTCAGCCTCGAAACCTTAGTGACTTGGAGAAGATCTGCAAAGAGTGGGACAAAATCCCTCCTGAGATGTGTGCAAACCTGGTGGCCAACTACAAGAAACGTCTGACCTCTGAGATTGCCAACAAGGGGTTAGCCACCATGTTTTGCAGAGGGGTCAAATACCTCATTAAAATACAAATAAAATTCTAACATTTTTGACATGCGTTTTTCTGGATTTTTGTTGTTGTTATCCCGTCTCTCACTGTTCAAATAAACCTACCATTAAAATTACAGACTGATCATTCATTTGTCAGTGGGCTAACGTACAAAATCAGCAGGGGATAAAATACTTTTTTTTTCTCCCCTGCTGTAGACACCACGTGTGCAAGGGTGGTCCCACCTTCCTGGCAGTGCACCCCGGCCCAGCCCGGGGTGCAGGCGCACCGCCCCGTTGTGACGTCACAGGCAGCGCCATTGAGGCAGCGGCACGCGAGGCCACAGCCCTTGCCGTGCCGGCCCTCGGGGCATCCTGCGGACACAACGCACGCACACTCGCCGTCAGTAGGCGTGCTTTATGATACGGCATAGCACGCCGGTTACCATCATAGCATGCAGGCTACCATCATAGCACGCCGGTTACCATCATAGCACACTGACTACCATCATAGCACACTGTCTACCATCATAGCACACTGTCTACCACCATAGCACACTGACTACCATCATAGCACATTGTCTACCATCATAGCACACTGACTACCATCATAGCACACTGTCTACCATCATAGCACACTGTCTACCATCATAGCACACTGACTACCATCATAGCACACTGACTACCATCATAGCACACTGACTACCATCATAGCACATTGTCTACCATCATAGCACACTGACTACCATCATAGCATACTGTCTACCATCATAGCATACTGTCTACCATCATAGCACACTGGTTACCATCATAGCACACTGACTACCATCATAGCACACTGTCTACCATCATAGCACACTGACTACCATCATAGCACACTGACTACCATCATAGCACACTGACTACCATCATAGCACACTGGTTACCATCATAGCACACTGACTACCATCATAGCACACTGTCTACCATCATAGCACACTGACTACCATCATAGCACACTGACTACCATCATAGCACACTGACTACCATCATAGCACACTGACTACCATCATAGCACACTGTCTACCATCATAGCACACTGACTACCATCATAGCACACTGACTACCATCATAGCACACTGACTACCATCATAGCACACTGGCTACCATCATAGCACACTGGCTACCATCATAGCACACTGACTACCATCATAGTACACTGGCTACCATCATAGCACACTGACTACCATCATAGCACACTGACTACCATCATAGCAAACTTGTTACCATCATATCACACTGACTACCATCATAGCACACTGGCTACCATCATAGCACACTGACTACCATCATAGCACACTGTCTACCATCATAGCACACTGTCTACCATCATAGCACACTGACTACCATCATAGCATACTGACTACCATCATAGCACACTGACTACCATCATAACACACTGGCTACCATCATAGCACACTGGCTACCATCATAGCAAACTTGTTACCATCATATCACACTGACTACCATCATAGCACACTGTCTACCATCATAGCACACTGACTACCATCATAACACACTGGCTACCATCATAGCACACTGGCTACCATCATAGCACAGTCAGCAAGTGTCCCATGGTGGTGTTCGTCTGAGCCCAGTGTCATTGGCCACCTCGTGTGTGCTGTCGTAACCGTCCGTGTGCGTGTTGGTGGTGCGCCGTGACGGCCTTCATAGACGCTGCTCGCTAGCAGCAGCACCCGTTCATGAATTCTCGTCTCCCCGTGCAAGAGGGCAGGGGGCTGCCACCGCTCACTCTGGTTGCAGCTGGGACCGATCCAACCCGCAGGGCAATGGCATAGGCCTGTCACGTGATCGCAGCGCGCTCCATTGTGGCACAGGCAGGATTGGTTGCAGTCCATGCCGTGAAATCCATCGGGGCAAGCTGCAACGACGCGACAAGGCAACGGTGTAGACGCGACAAGGGAGCTGCAGAAACGAGAAGGAGCAAACGAGCAACGATACGGAACGAACAAGCGACGGTGCTCCCACTCTTCTGCTGCCCCCCATTGTCTAACGTTCCCTTCCCTCGGCCGTCCGTGGTGTCCATTCCATGACATAAGATCCAGCGGTGGTGTACGCACGGTGCCTTGAGATGCATTTGAATGTTGGCGCTATGTAAATCCAAATTGTACTTGATTAAAATACCAACCAAACAAACGACAAACAATCACACCATGTCACCATAGTCTTTGTCGAGTCATGCTAACAAAATTTAAGCCGATCGCTAATTGTAGGCGAATGCTAGGGTGCAGTAATTCTTAAACTCCGCTCCAAGTGTCCCCCTCACAGTGCGGCTTTCCATTGCTGCCGGCAATCGGCTGCGTTGCAAGGTTTATGGGCTTACATTTTTTACACGCGAATGGAAAAAAGAACATCGGTGAACCGGGTAAGGTTGTCCGATGTCGGAGGTGCTTGCGTGGACTGGAGTTTGAGAAGCACCGTCGTAGCGACAAATTCTTTCACTGCTCATCAACTCAACGGGTTTGTTGTCTTTGTAATTTGGGGAAATGGTCGGTACGTTCCCAAAAGATGTTTAATCCTGGAACAAAGAAGAGTTGCACCAAGTCCTAAAGTTTGGGTCACCTCAAACTCATATTTCAGAATTAATCGCATAATAGCAAAGTGGGCAATTACGTCACGAGTGACTACATTTCAAAATCACTATATCGGTTTGAATGAGTGCTTGTTTTTAATATCCTGTTTTAAATGCCTGGCCACGGCGATTACTATAAGCGCATATTACTGCACACTTGTGCGTCACCCATCGTCTGGAAAGGTGTCTCGACTCCAGGTCACGTTTTTGGGATTTCCGTTCTAAAGTCGCGGCTGCAGTGTGAGCGTGTTTGCCACACAGGGAATGTTCCCCAGTCGCAGCTCACACCCGGTGGGGGGGGGGGGGGGTAGGGGGTAGCTCTGGTTAGCACGGTCGGCTACGTACGGTGCGAAAGAAGTTCAATACATAGCTGGGGCAGTTTTTGCCCCAGGCCTCAGATCCAAGAGGCCTCATGAATGGCCAATGGGGCCTCATCAGAAGGGGCCTCATTGAGAATTTTTCCCCGGGCCTCCAAGAACATTTCAGTGGCCACGGGGGCAGCATCTAGAATTGTAGCGAACTGACTCGGTATGTGATGATCCATAGATTAATCCATGATCATGGAATGGTCTCACACTAATGGTGCGCGCATGGAATTATGCGGGCAAGACCGGATAATTATTTATGATTTATATTCAGTATGTAATTTGGTCAAATAATACCGACAGCTACCAGAGGCAGTATGTTCTGTACGATGGCAATTTTTTTAAATCAATTTCTTGAACCCATAAAAAAACAACAACCTTGAGTTCATTGAAGCGCACGGGGAGTGAATACGTGAATAGAACGTACACGCCGGCGTTACTGTCCTGCGTCACTTTGCCTCGAGCAGTTGTTCTGAACCTTGACTGCAGCCTTGCACCCCTTTGGTACGCAATCGTTATAGTTTTTTTAATGCTAATAAATACATAGGTTTGATGGAACCACGTAGTTGTACTTACGTGCCCGTGCGTAATTTGTGTTTCAATGATTTACCTTCTTGAAAAAATATGGCCGTGTCTCGCACCCCCAGAAAGGACATATCGCACCCCCAGGTTAAGAACCACTGGCCCAAAGGCTGAAATGCTGAACGAGATTCTACCAAATGAAACCGCAAACTCACTGCGGGCACAGTGAGTCCCCATGAAGCCCGCAGCGCAGGTGCAGGCGCCGCTGACGTGGTCGCAGCCGGCGCCGTTCTGGCACCGGCACTTGGACTGGCAGCCTTCGCCATACATCCCGGCTGGGCACCCTGCACACACGCACACACACACACGCACACACGCCACAAACACACGCACGCACACGCACGCACACACGCACGCACGACACACACAAAGATCCCCCAAATAGCCTTAACAGACTGTTCGGGCAAGTGTGGTTAGCGAGCACCTATGAAGGTCGGCACAGCACGCGAGGGGGGGGTAGGTGACCAGCACCGCGCCCGGGCCCTCTTTGCGTTCCCCAGTGCTGATGTTTTTAACATCGCAGCGAGTGTAAATCTTAAGGCTGAGTCGACCTAGTGGAGGCCCAGGACCGGTTCGGATATCCGTCACCGATGTTGGCCGTGAGCGGGAATCGAACTCGGTCCGCCGAGTTGGTGGCGCAGTGCGCTAGCCACGACACCGCCGCTCTCGACGCACGGACAAACAGGCTGCGTAGGGGAACGTACCAAATTGGGCATTGCACACTGGCTCTGCATTCACAAATTGGCAAATGTGTGCACCCATTGGTCTGAATGCAACATTATCGTCTCAGTCGCATGTAATGTAAATTAAGTACTTATCGAAGTACGTAATTTAATGCATGTATTCTAAGTATAAACAATCAATAGCATAGACATATCATCATCAGCATGGACAACAACAAAAATAGGCTTTAACCATTATAGCTGCGAGTGAAATACGCTAACATTCGTGGAAACCATTTGCAGGGTCAATCCACGACGCTTTCTTCGCTCATTTGTTTGGCAGAAGAAGAATGCGCAAGCGAGTCAGATCACCCCTTGCGCTCTCTGCTCCGATGTCGTCTGCCGGCCGAGTCTCCCTTGAAAAAAAGCTTCTCAGCTCAACGGACTTCACCCGGGTGGGGGAAAAAAACCTTCTGATTCTGGCCGCACGGGCCGCGACCTGGGAGCACGATCGCCACAGTCGCGGACGCTCGCCGTTCCGGCCGGAGTCGCCGTAGCGCGAGACGCCCCCCTACCCCCCCCCCCGACCGCCATCCTTTGCTTCTCACTCACGCTGATCGCAGTGTGTCCCCGTGTAGCCGGGCTCGCAGGTGCACAGCCCCGTGATGGGATCGCAACTCCCCGTGCCGTTGCTGCAGTGGCACGGGTTCTTGCACGCGAGCCCCCAGCGGCCAGACTCGCACACTGAGAGAGAGATAGAGATATGGAGAGAGAGAGCGAGAGGCAAAGAGGGGACAAACTAAAACAACTTAAAAAAACTAAAACTACATTATTTTTACCAGGTAAGGCCCACTGAGCTACCTGGCGACCTGCCCACAAATGATAGCCCAATGAAGTGGCTTATCGAGTGGAAATTTATAGCAGCCAAATGCTTTCAACGCACGTTTGGTAATGTGGAGGGAAAAACCGGAGGGCCCGGAAAAAAAAAATCCACACAACAGGCGTCAGGGTCGGAATCGAACGCACGTCCTCCTGTATAGCAGGCGAGGTAGCTAACATCTTCCTACCGCGGCACCCCATGAGGCTTGTTGGAACCCGTGTACACGCGTGGATTCCAGACTTTCGCAGCAGTGAGCATGGGTGACTACACTGTGCTGACGAGTCCTGACAAGGACGGAACCGGCCCACAGTTGCATGTCTCTGTATCGCTGTTCCCAATGTAAGTGCAGTTGTGCTGCACTTACATTGCTCCCACGTCTATGTTCCCCGCGTTAACCGCACTGGGCAAAGCAGCCAAGCATTGACAATTAACCCCAGTGGCCTGCACGGTGTGTGGAGGCTCTCATTATCCAGCAGTGGATAAACGAAAGGGCTGCACGTGTCCGTGTGCAAGGTTGCATGGGCGCCGCCGCAGGTCTCCTTTTCAGGGGAGACGTGGCTGAAAGAAATCTCCCGTGCAGAAAATCAAAACAAATCGCTAATTTTTTTTACAAAACAATGCAGACGAGGGGGACTATCTGTGGGGTGGGCGAGCAGGTGTGTCTGGGTGAGCGTGCGAGTAGTGGGTAAGCGTGTCAGTGAGCGAGCGCATGGGTTGGCAAGCCATGTGGGAGTTCGAGCGACTGATTTTATATGCAGGTGAGCGGGCGGAGTGGGTGAGAGTGTGGGTGGGCGAATTGTCCATTGGATAGGCGTGTGAGTGGGCGAGTGGAGAGCAGCTGATGTGGGCGAGAGTGCGAGTGGGTGAGAGTGATTTAAAGCTTTCGTGACTGCAGTAATTCATATTCTTAGCTCTTTCGGTAAAGTCACGTTGAAGGGAAACAATAAAATAATAATATATATAAAACAATAAAAAATAAAAATTCTCACGACGTTTCGACCATAACACAAACGGTCGTCATCAGGTGTGCCGGTTCGCATTAATTTATTTATTTTTAAACGGTGTATTTATTTATTTTAAAAAACGTCAGCGCCACGCGCAGCGTTTTGGCAGTTTGTTTAGAAGGACTAGTCCATCTATGTTCTGAAAAGAGGAGGGGGGAGACGAAAAATTAATGTATGCTGTCTGAAAGCCACTGTAAGTGTGAAAAACCATTAAAAAAAACATTTCAGGTCTTAATTGATTGTTCACGCTTACAGTGGCTTTCAGACAGCATACATTAATTTTTCGTCTCCCTCCTCCTCTTTTCAGAACATAGATGGACTAGTCCTTCTAAACAAACTGCCAAAACGCTGCGCGTGGTGCTGACGTTTTTATAAATAAATAAATACACCGTTTAAAAATAAATAAATTTATGCAAACCGACACACCTGATGACGACCGTTTGTGTTATGGTCGAAACGTCGTGAGAATTTTTATTGTTTAATATATATTTTATTATTTTATTGTTTCCCTTCAACGTGACTTTACCGAAAGAGCTAAGCATATGGGTGAGAGTGGGCGATTGTATCTACGTATGTTGAACTTCTTTCGCGCCGTACGTAGCCAACTGTGCTAATCGGAGGTGAGCGACAGCGCGAATGCGTTGAGAGCGTGACAGGGCGAGCGTGGCGATGAGCGCCACGGGCAGTCAATGACCGTGCGTACGCGTGCTACAGTCTTGTCCAGTCCAGCCGGCGGCGCAGACGCAGCGTCCCGTCGAGGGCTCGCACGCCGCGCCGTTCTGGCAGGAGCAGCGCTGCAGGCATCCCGCCCCGTGGAAGCCGTGAGCGCACGCTGCCGCCAGGGGAACACAGGGACGGGTATCGGCGATCCAACTCTTTTGCTGCCTTTAACAGACTGTTTGGGGCAAGCGCTGGCAGCGAGCGCCTACGAAAGCCGGCATGGCACACAGGGGGGGTGGGTGGCCAGCACCGCTACCCCGAGCGTGCGATGTTTACACACACCGCACCAGGTACCAAGGGATGCCCAGTACGGGTTCAGAGACTCGTCACTGGTGTTGACCGTGAGCAGGAATCGAACTCGGGGTCGCTAGCGGGTTCGTAGCGCAGCTGCACCACCTTCATTGACGTGAAGCATGCTCTCACATTTGTTTTAAAAAATATTTTATTTTCGTAATTTAATTCCATTTTTTTTTTATTGTACAGCGCCAGCGAGACATTTGTTTCTGCGAATGTCACTATTACAAAACAACAGTAGTAATAACAATACATTTTTGCACGATGACGTAACTGACGACACCGTTGATTGCTTTATGATTGAATCATTGGATGGGACAACGCAACCGGTGCCCAGCAACCGAGAGCGGCAGTGAGCCACCTTTACTTACGGGTCTGGCAGGAGGCCCCCGAGAACCCGGGCAGACAGGCGCACCTCCCCGTTGTTTTGTTGCACGCGCCGTTGTTTTGACACCCGGGGCAGATGCCCTTGCAGCCAACTCCCCAGAGGCCATCCACACAATCTGCACCCACACGTCAACAGCAAAAGACAGGTCCTACAGACGTTCATGACGGGGGGGGCTCTACGACGCGTTCGGCCACTATTGAGTCGTGACGTAGCCACCACGGTGGCGCGTGGCGTAGCATCGACGAGGCTCCGTTATTGCAACTCACTGCTCTGCGGGACGTCTGGCAAAAAAAAAAACATTAGCAAGTTGCGGCGTGTAATACATCCTTGGGCAACGCTGTCGTGACGGGGTGCTGCGAGATCCGACCGTGTCTGCTTGCTGAGCCGCATTGGCTATCGGCAATGGCGGAGCCAGGGTTTTCAGGTAGGGGGGGGCAACCCCTCCAGCAATGAAAAATGATAGAGGAGTTGTTAGTAAGTAAGGAGTTGTTAGTTAGTAAGGAGTTGTTAGTAAGTAAGGAGTTGTTAGTAAGTAAGGAGTTGTTAGTAAGTAAGGTGTTGTTAGTAAGGAGTTGTTAGTGAGTAAGGAGTTGTTAGTAAGTAAGGAGTTGTTAGTAAGTAAGGAGTTGTTAGTAAGTAAGGAGTTGTTAGTAAGTAAGGAGTTGTTAGTTAGTAAGGAGTTGTTAGTAAGTAAGGAGTTGTTAGTAAGTAAGGTGTTGTTAGTAAGGAGTTGTTAGTGAGTAAGGAGTTGTTAGTAAGTAAGGAGTTGTTAGTAAGTAAGGAGTTGTTAGTAGTAAGGAGTTGTTAGTAAGTAAGGAGTTGTTAGTAAGTAAGGAGTTGTTAGTAAGTAAGGACTTGTTAGTAAGTAAGGAGTTGTTAGTAAGTAAGGAGTTGTTAGTGAGTAAGGAGTTGTTAGTGAGTAAGGAGTTGTTAGTGAGTAAGGAGTTGTTAGTAAGTAAGGAGTTGTTAGTAAGTAAGGAGTTGTTAGTAAGTAAGGAGTTGTTAGTAAGTAAGGAGTTGTTAGTAAGTAAGGAGTTGTTAGTAAGTAAGGACTTGTTAGTAAGTAAGGAGTTGTTAGTAAGTAAGGACTTGTTAGTAAGTAAGGAGTTGTTAGTAGTTAAAGAGTTGTTAGTAAGTAAGGAGTTGTTAGTAAGTCAGGACTTGTTAGTAAGTAAGGAGTTGTTAGTAAGTAAAGAGTTGTTAGTAAGGAGTTGTTAGTAAGTAAGGACTTGTTAGTAAGTAAGGACTTGTCCCTTGCTTTTGATTCGACGACGTGTGTGCGGCGATGGCGCAGACATCGATCGAGGGTCGAATTCGAACCGCGTGGTGTGATCGGCATCGCGCTCGCTGAAGGTGTCGATGCCTTCAGGGAAGTCGTGGACTGGATACGCAACTGCGCACAATTCTGTAAGTCACTTATAACTGCTTTGCTGTTACTTATTGGCAATTATAGACTCAGACTATTGTCCTATCATCTCATAGAGTCCCTGGCACGTAATAATATGCTACACAGTGGCAGTCGGGGTCGCAAAATGCCGATTTATTACTAATAAACCCCAATGATCCGATTCAAATTAGGGATTTCGATCGGATCATTGGGAGGGCACGTGCCACCCCACCCCCCCCCCCCCCCCCCCCCCCCCCACTGGCTCCGCCAGCGGCTATCGGTTGCTGAACAAATGCAATAAAGGTCGCACTCATTACGGACTAAGTGCTTGCTACAAATGAACCAGAATACATTGCTCATCTCGTCAAGGACCATAAACCATCTCGCAAACTCCGGTCATCCTCACAGCAACGGCTTTTGGCAGGCCATCGAACAAAGACGGTCACCGCATCGCGTGCTTTCAGAAGCGCTTCTGAAGCCACTGGAACTGTGCGCTTTTAAATCGAAATTGAAAACTCATTTCCTTGAGAACTGCTTTTTGTGTTTAGTTTGTTGTCCTTCCCCTGCACCTCCAATTAGCGCGGTCGGCTGCGTACGGTGCGAAAGAAGTTCAACATACATCGACATGAGTAGCTCTATCCGCTCACACGGTTTGGGGAATCCTGGCTCACGAATGGTCAAGGATATCGATGATAATAATGATGATGGCGACGACGACGACAACGATTCACAGGCCATCTCACCCTTCTCGCACGACGTTCCCGTGCGTCCGGCAGGGCAGCTGCAGAGTCCCGTGCGGCTATCGCAGGGCGCCCCGCCGCAGTCGCACTCCCAGCGGCAGTTCGCTCCGTATTGGCCCACATCGCACTCTGCAACGCAGCCGCGCAAGCACGCGCTCGCAAAAAAGCCAACGCGCCCGAGCTCACCGCGCGGCCAAAGGGGGAAGCGGGAGGCCACCGCGCAGGGCAGTGAGCTATTCATTTTTATTTATCTTAGCAGGTAGGGCCCACCTGAGCTATGTAGATCTTGTTTTAGAAGCGAACTGGATTTGTAGAATGATAGCTCAACGAAGTGGCCTACGGGTCGAGCGGAAGTTAATAGCGGCAGCGACATACTCGAAACGCGTGACGTCGATTCTAAATGTGAAGGGAAAAAACCGACCCCGGGAAGAGAAAAAAAGCACGCAAGCTCCAAATATACAGCAGCAGCAGGCGTCAGGGTCGGGATCGAACCCACGACCTCCTGTATACAAGGCGAGGTGGTTAACATCTCCTAGCTACCGTGGTGCCCACGACGATGGAATCAATGATAACCCCAGAAAGACGATATTTCTACCACGGTGAGTGCCGCCAACCAATAGCTGTTGTTTGTACAACAGCGAGAAGGGGGATTTGGAAATGTCGGATGCTCGCCGACGCGTCTTCGGGTGTTGCTGCCGCGTGTTGTTCGGCGCGACGTCTCGAGATTTTCTCCCGCGTGCTGGGAGCTTCTTTGGTTCTGAAACGTCGGACATCGTGCCGAACAACGACGCGGTACAGCCCTGAAAATAACATCGCAGAGCTGTACAGCAAAGCCGCGAAAAGATGGTTTTGCACGAGGTGTCTCGTGTTGTTGGTTCTTAAAATCGCGACACATTTACCCGGGCGTATTTGTAAGAAATGTACATTTTTCTAATCACACATGTTGCCGCCTGTGACCACTGTAATTTATAAGCAATACGTTTTTTTTTCTACAATTTTTACACGTTGTATTTAATGGCTTCACATAACCCCTGCAGCCACTAGCAGATGTTAAAGAGTTTACCGCGACGTTAAAAATTATCTATTCTTGTGACGAACCTTGACCCTGAATCGTGACAATTCATAAAAATACCAGGCCTGGGGTGAGAGGAATGAATCATGATGCCCCTAATTATTGATATTATTGCCAAATATGTTGTAAATATGCTTTTGTTTGGTAACTTAAACTCTTATTTTTCAGCTCACTGCTGTGAACAAGATGAAAGCCCTCTTTGCTTGGCTCGAGTTCAGTGGTGATCTTAAGAGGGCAGGAAAAACAGGGGTCAGGGATTTCATAGGGCTTAAGGGGCTCTCACCAATAACGCGAGAAATTATGACTGTAACGGTGCAAAAAAAAACCCCATTGAATTATCCCACCGCATCGCTTCCATCCAAACACCTGTGCAAAGTCGACGACGGCAAGCTACATTTTTTTCTCTCGTTTTTAAAATCCCCAAACACAACAAAGCAAACGCACTGTAGACCCCCTTCCCCCCCCCCGTCCCCACCTCCTTATTGGGGATTACAACCACGAGCAACCGATTTACTCACACCGTCACACCGTGGCCGCGTCGGCCAATTCAAACACGGGCTACACACCTGCGGACGGACCACCCGCACGCGTGCGTAACGGTGAGCACCTGCGGGAATCGCCCCTCCCCGGAGCCCCCGCGGTGTTCCATTTCATGCGAGAATTCCACGCGCGCGCGCGGGCGTGCTCGAGGCTTACAGGACTGCTATTGTACCGCAGAAATAAATACGGTGGGGGGGGGGGGGGGGAGCGGTGGCAGGGAGGGGGGGGGGAGGTTGGCTGCGACGCGCCGTGCTTAGCGATCGACGACAAGCCACCACTCTCATGCGCAGCCTTTCACAACCTTATATTCTCATTCGCAGGTGGTTTATTTTTGGGTGAGATCGTGGCGGTGGGTTATGATGTCAATTCGGGTCCCGTAAGGCCCTCGCCTCCACCTAACCCGACGCGGACAAACGAATGAAGTCGTCACGCGGGGGCAAACGTGTCGAGTGATTTCGGTTTGTGATTGAGCGAAGCCGCTCGCGTTGCTGGAAAGCGAGCAGAATTTTCGCTGGAGACTACGTGCAGCACGATCGGGAGTTCACAAGAGCTCCGATGGAGCAATTTCCAGCGCAACGTGGTATAAAAATTCGTCAAAATTAACGCTCGTTTTTCAATGCGAGAAAAATAAATCAATCGCCACATTTGCACCCGCCCCCCTCCCCACGTGACAACTTCATTGGTTTATCCTCGCCGCGTCCGGTGGATGAAGGCTATTCCGGCGCCCCGAATTGACATCGGAATCTACACGACGGATCGGGGACCCCCGAAAGAAACCCCATCGAGCACGAGGCACTGCACTCTCTCTCTCTCTCGCTCTCTCTCTCGCCCTAGTCGGACGGGCGGGGGGGGGGGGGGAGACACCGACCCTCCTGGCAGCTGGCGCCGTGGAAGCCCGCGGGGCACTGGCGCCTGCAAGCGCCGCTCGCCGAGTCGCAGGGCACGCCCGCAGGGCAGTTGCACTTCTGCCTGCAGCCAGCGCCGAAGTAGCCCGGCTCGCACCCTGCGCCCCGAACGAGAAGCAAGGGAGGGAGGGCGGGATCGCTCGCACGTCCGTATCTATTGTGTGTTGAACTTCTTTCGCACCGTACGTAGCCAACCGTGAGTGGGTGAGTGAGTGAGTGGGTCAGTGTATGTATTTTGTGTTTAACTTATTTCGCACCGTACGGAGCCAACGGTGAGTGGCTGAGCGGGTTATGGAGCGCGTGAGTGCATGTTGAACTTCTTTCCCACCGTACGTAGCCAACCGTGAGTGGGTGAGTGAGTTGGGCAGTGTACGTGTTGTATTTTGAACGTATTTCACACCGTACGTAGCCGAACCGTTGTAGAGGTTAAACGAATCAACCAAGAGAGCATTTGGTGTAGCCATGTGTGACTCTGCCGGGGAGGACCTACCGTGCTGGCACGCCTTGCCGTGGTGTCCCGGTAGGCAGGTACAGCTGCCGAGCTTGGCGTCACAGTAGAGGCTGTTTTCGCGCACGCATTGGCACTCCTCCGAGCAGCCCGGCCCGAACGCCCAGCGGGGGCAGACTGGCACAAAACAAAGGGAAAAAAGTCCCCCTCCGCCCCATATATGATCCTTACGGCAGTACCCCGGGGTACCAAATAATACAAAACGGCCGAGACAATTAAATAAGTTATTTCTGGGACACTATTTTTTCTCAGGGGTGTTACTTAACTCCGCGACTGGGGTACCAATCAATCTGAAATCAGTGCCACACTCCGCGATGTCGAAACGCAGCGAGGACGATTGCGCTGAAACCCCGAACGCTCGCGGTACGCACCGTGGTGGTGCATTGTGGGTACAGCTCGTCGAGATGAGTCGATGGCCGCATCGCCGACCATCAACAGACTAAAGATGACTGCATCATGGACATTATGCGAGAGCAGGGGTACTATGGTACCCTGGGGTACCGCTATAAGGTTCATATAGCCCGGGCAGACTGCTGGGGAAAGTGGTTATTAGCGAGGACGTATGGAGGCAAGGGTGGGTGATCATGGCTATCACCGTGGCTGGCTGCCTTTGCCTCCCCAGTGATAATGTTTACCCACCACACCAAGTACTCAAGAGTTTAAGGCTGAGCTGAATAGGGAAAGGCCCCCAAAACCAATTGTATTTTGCGTCGAATGTAAGCCATGACCAGCAAATGAACCTGGGTTGCAGATTTGTAGGGTAATGTGCGAACAACTGTGCCCCGGCTTTGCACACCGACAAAGGCAAACTAAAGATCCCCTTTATAGCCTGTAAACAGATTGTGGCGGTGTTAGCGAGTGGCTCGCGTGAAGGCCAGCACAGCACACGAAGGGGTGGGGGAGGGAGGGATGGGTGGCCAACACCACACTCGGCCACCTTTGTCTCCTCAATGCTGATGATTACACACTGCGCCAGGTACCCATTTACGGTTGAGTCGACCTAAGGGGAGTCCCACGACAGATTCAAACATTCGTCAATGTTATAGGTCGTGTGCAGCAATATAACTCGGGACGCGGGGTTCGTAGCGCAGTTCACTAACCACTACACTACCACTCCTCACAGAATGACAAAGAACCCACCCCGATTAGCCTTCATGGACTGTTGGGGCAAGTGGCTTTTAGCGAGCACCGGTGAAGGCTGGCACGGTACACGAGGCGGTGGGTGCCCAGCCCGACCGCCTTTGTCTCCCCAGTGGCGATGTTTACTACACACCGCACCAGGTACTCATTTGAGGCTGAGTCGACCTAGGGGAGGCCCAGGACCGGTTCAGATAATCGTCACTGGTGTTGGCCGTGAGCGGGAAATCGAACCCGGGTCACCGCGTCTGAAGCGCAGCGCGCTAAGCACTGCACTACGTGTCATTCCAGACTCAATAACACGCACACAACAACAACAACAACCGCCATTTGCCACTAAGTGGCGGTGAGGTCACCATGACGCTTGTGTCCGGCAAAAGCACCCCCTACTTTCTCGCGGTGCCGGACGGGCAACTCTGTCGTGGACAGTGCTGGAATTGGCCCTCTCCCCTCATGGCGTCTGTGACCACCACAGTGGCTAAATGGGGGCTCTGGACTGTTGCGAGGAGCTGGTAACCCCTCCACCTTCAATAAATTACCACTAAACCACGGCTGAAACACGCACACAGACACACACACACAAGGGTGTCGTGGGGTGGGGTGGGGGCTCGTAATGGCGAGCGGTGAAGTGAAAGACGAACCCAGGTGGCAGAAGCGGCCGTACAGCCCCGGGTCGCACAGACACGCGCCGTACGTGCGGTGGCAGCGCCCGTTGTTGCCACAGTTGCACCTGCGGTTGCAAGTCCTTCCATAGAATCCCTTGGGGCAGCCTGCAGGTCAACGTCAAGATCAACAGGTCGCTCATGGTAAATGCCATCGATGCCACTATACCTCACCATTGCTTCCTTCCGCCATAGTTGTAATGTTACCACCCGGCATTGGAATACCGCTGCCATATAACGCCACCTTTTGAAGCTAGCTCTCCCCCTTTGCCGCCAACATCTGGCCGCCCGGCCAATGCCAATCTCGGCAACCAGCCCTCTTCCATCCTCCACACCTGCCCCATCAATCGCACTGTCTTGCCACGTTCACAGACCCTGCTCACTCCATCCTTCAATGACATTCCTCACAATCTTCGCATGCACCTGAATTCATAGGCCAGGTGTGGATTTTTCTCCGTGTCCTCCGGTTTTTCCCTCCACATTTAGAATCAACGTGCGTTTGGCTAATTTGGCTTCTGTAAATATCGATGTGATCAGCCACTTCGTTGGTCTATCATTTGTGATTGCCAGGTCGCTTCTGACAAAATAACTATATCGCTCAGCGGGCCTTACATGCCAAAAGAGAAGTAAATTTTGATTTAAAGCTTTCGTGACTGCAGTGATTCATATTCTTGGTTCTTTCGGTAAAGTCACGTTGAAGGGAAACAATAAAATAATAATATATATAAAACAATACAATTCTGACGACGTTTCGACTGCAACACAAGCAGCCATCATCAGGTGTGCCGTTGGTTTTCACACCTGATGATGACTGCTTGTGTTGCAGTCGAAACGTCGTGAGAATGTTATTGTTTCATATATATTTTATTGTTTCCCTTCAACGTGACTTTACCGAAAGAACCAAGAATATAAAAATGGAAGCAGTTTAGCTTTAGTTCATAAAGCAAGGCATATAGGAACGTTCGGTTGTGTTGCTGCAAGGGGTGTTTACGGTAACAAATGCTCTCACCGTCCTCGCAGCGATCCCCCATCACCCCGGGTGGACAGTGGCATCTTCCGGTGATGGCGTCGCACACTCCTCCGTTCCGACACTCGCACGGGCTGTTGCAGCTCTTCCCGTAGAAGCCTTGGGGACATGCTGTGCGGGGCGGAGGGGCGGAGGAGAGGTGAGACACGCTGCCGTGAGATAAGAGGGACGCGCGACCCGGCAGGCAACGCGGGATCTGAGCTCCTGTTATGTGCGCGTGTTCAACTTCTTTCGCACCGTACGTAGCCAACCGTGCTAATCGGAGGATCGGGGGGGTAACAAACTGAACACATCATGACGCTGGATGTAAATCTCAAAAGGAACGTGCATTGTGTACAGCTCGTGGGTCTTCCCCCGGCGCTCCGATTTCCTCCCACACTCCCACACTTGTAATAAATATCCATCATTAATTGGTTGAAAACATGTTTCATAAAAATGCAGGACCCTCCTGAAAAAAAGAGTCCTACCACCCAGTGTGTTTTCTTCCCCCTGGAATAATGGTACATTTATTATTTAAGTACATTTATTTATTGTATCCAGTTTTGAATTATTTTTACTTTACATTTTAGGAATGCCCCCCCCCCCCCCGCCCCACCGCGCCCCTGGGAGGTTGCTAGATCTGCCAGTGGTTTATTTTATGTTTACGTGTGAAATGATGTGATGGCGCTTTGGGTGGCGGATCTGTAGCAGAGAGGTGGCCACGTGTTTAATGTCTTGTTTGTGCGTGCGTGATGCCGTACTCTCGTTGCAGAGGAGCCCGGTCCACCCCGCCGGGCAGTCGCACCCTTGGGCCCCGTCCGTGCACGCGGCGCCGTTGGTGCAGTCGGCGCACGACAGCGAGCAGTCGGCGCCGAACGAGCCGCCCAGGCAGACTGCCGCACGGCACGAGACGCGGCGAAGGGGTCAGCACCGACGACGGGACGGGCTCGCGCGCTATCGGGATTACGAAAAGCCGACCCGCCCCCCCCACCGCCCGCAAAGAGTTCGGGGAGCACCTTTACATTGTTGGGGGCGTCTTAGAGGCCGGAGGAGTGCGCGAGTGAGAGGCGCGTCGTCAACGAAATAAAGCCAAAAAAAACTTTTGAAGAAGCAGTGCCGGATTGAGCTAGTGCGGGGCCTGTAGCATATGTTATAAAGGGGCCCTAAAGTAAAAAAAACACGTACATTTTAAAACACAATTTTTTTACTTGCATAGCAAAGTAATTGTCATTTTTTTATTTGCTATACAGCCAGATAATAGGACAAATCACTAACCTTAAACACCCAGTCGTTCATGAAAGTTGCAGGCAGTATAGTACTATAGTAATAGAGCAAGTGCAGAGTCACTGAACCGGAATTGATAGCTTGAAAGCGTTTAGCGCGGGGCCCTTGAAAGTGCCGGGCCCGTAACTTATGTAGCTACTTTTGCTAGGATAATGCGGCATTGCGAAGAAGTGAAAGTTGTCACGTATTACATTGCGCTGTTCTGCAGCGGATGGGTAAAGTTGCAGCCCTTGCAATTTTATTGCTCACTCACGCCCCTTCCACTCGAGTGAGGCCCAAAGGGCTCCACCAGAGCATCGGTGGCCAACTGGCGTCTCTCGAGCTGCATGTGCCTCTTTAATCCACCACATGTGGCTCTATCGAAGGGGCATAACGCAGAACACACTAGCACAGTAGCAAAGAATAATGAATGTCTCACGTGCTGTGCTCAAAATTGTCAATATATATAGACATACTTGGCTGTTTGCAGAACACAGGGGCGCTTTTTGGCTCTTGGTCTGTTACAGGTTGGCTATTTGGCCGAGTTTTCCATGCTGGTCAGACCTCTTGAAAGAGGTTGGAGTACCCAAATCTCTCAATTTCAAGTACACGGTGGTCACCATCACACGACCACGGCAGCTTCCTAGAATGAATGTTTGAATGACCATAAACTATTCATAATTATGCCTAAGAAGTCACACCTCACGTTCAAGTGTTCTCTAATGCATGGATATGCACCGCATAGTTCAACAGACATGAAGTCCATCTTCCCACGGAAAAAAAATATGTTTAGTCTATCAGCCCATTGGCCTTCAAGGCTAATGTAATGCATCCAGCAGCATTTGTTTAAGTGGACAAACTCTAAACTGGTTTCAAGTTTCTGGGTCTCATCAGCAGTCAGGCGTGTTGTTCTTTGTCATTAATGTGCTGCAACCCAGCAGTGTTTTACTGTGTTTGGAAACTAACGGAAGTCTGCTTAATTTATTGGCTGTAATGCTCCAACCAGCACGTAATTATTTATATATATAGTATTGCTCTGTGTGTGTGTGTATAATATAGCTTTTGGCTTTGAGCAGGGGCTCCCATTGTGAGGATGAACTGTTCTTGAAAATAACAAATAGTTTAACAAGCTCGACTGCTGATGAGACCCAGGTTGAAACTGGTCTCGAGTTTGTTTGCTTGAACAAATACTGCTGGATAATATTGGCCTGGAATGCCCATGTTGACAACAAAAACATTTTGCTTTTACGTGGAAGAACTTACGGAAGTCTGTTAATTTATGTTGTTACCCACAATGCTCCCTGCCATGTAACTTGGAATGCGCTAAATCTAATCAGATCTCACAAGCTAAGCAGGGTTTTGAGCCTGGACAGTGCTTGGATGGCAGACAAGCATGTACAAACCGGTTCTCGTACGACTTGTGAGACTATGTGTTAGGCATTAAGAGGGCATGTGTCAAAAAAAACATTGTTGTACTCGACTTCTATGTGTCCACATATACACGCTTCACGTTGACCAGCGTGGCGAAGTACGCCTTTTAAACACTCACAATCCGCAACCAGGCATGGCGCAGTCCTCATCCAGCGGTGGATTGGACTGGGTCATGCATACGAATGTGCAGACATTCGTGATGCATACGAATGTCTGCACATTCGTATGCATCACGGACTGGGTCGCACTGATGAACGTGCATGTCAAATGTCATCTCGACTGAAGCACCGCCAGTTTAAATGAATCCGGGATCGCCGTGTAACCAGGTCCCACTCTCATGATTCATTGCAAAATACGCCCAAGCAAATTGGCACCAGCTGCCGTTTGCGTGACTTGCGTAGGAAATATTTCCTTCTGCTCAGTCCAACGGAACGGACTCATTAAAAAAAAGACTCTTTAATACTCCACCTCTTTTTTTTGCCCTCGTGTGTGGGGAGCGATGGTGCAGTGGTTAGCGCACTGCGATTGTCTGAACCGGTCATGCGCCTCCCCTAGGTCGACTCGGCCTCAAAAATGAGTACCCGGTGCGATGTGTAAACATCGGCAATGGGGAGACAAAGGCGGCCGGGCGTGGTTGTTGGCCACCCTCCTCCCCCGTGTGCCGTGCCGGCCTTTGCAGGTGCTCGCTAACAGCACTTGCCCCTACAGTCTGTTAAGGCTACACGGGGGGGGATGGTCTTTGTCTTTGTGAAGCACACACGCGGTCACTGGGAGCCGGCGCGCAATGACGTCACGGCTCGTTCCGTACATCGTGAGCACTGACGTCACGGCTCGTTCCGTACATCGTGAGCAATGACGTCACGGCTCGTTCCGTACATCGTGAGCAATGACGTCACGGCTCGTTCCGCACATCGTGAGCAATGACGTCACGGCTCGTTCCGTACATCGTGAGCAATGGCGTCACGGCTCGTGCCGTACAACGTGAGCAATGACGTCACGGCTCGTTCCGTACATCGTGAGCAATGACGTCACGGCTCGTTCCGTACATCGTGAGCAATGACGTCACGGCTCATTCCGTACATCGTGAGCAATGACGTCACGGCTCATTCCGTACATCGTGGCCTCATCCCTTACGCCGTGACGGTGGGGCTGACTATTTGTGAATGGCAGCAACAACAAAAAAATGCGTCGCCAAGGTGATACAATATTTGCGAGTTGTTTTTAGTGTTGCTGGCCTCCCCCCCCCCTCCCCTGCTTGCCGTGGCGGCCTTCATAGGCGCTCGCTTAGAAGCCCCAAAAGTCTGTAAAAGGCATCATGTGGAGATCTCTGGGTGGTTTAAAAGAATTGCCTGATATTGAGGCAAATGTGCTGAGCCAGCGCTGCTCAGATCCTGGGATTAGACATGGGTTTTAGCCGCCCTGTCATTAAACTGGATTCTCAAGTGTAGCCGGTTAGCGGTCTCAGCCGCGGTCACCAATGTCTGCACTAAAAAAATAGAAACAAATAAAAAAAATCTGGTTGTCCCCTGAACTCAACTAATACCAATTTCTAAGAATTTAAAATATGAGTTGTATTGCTCTATTTGCATGTCCAGCATGTTCGTCTTCTGCTCATGATCACTTTGTTCGACGATGTTTTGTTTCTTGCGCCGATAGGGGGGTAAGGGGGGGGGGGAATGCTTTCACCAATAACATGAAAGGTATTTTTTTAGCAAGCATGTCTCTGCTGATGAGACCCAGCAACCAGGGTGCGCCCTAGGAGTCTTGTGAGAATAACAAAAAAATAGAGTTAATTTCATGTATTTATTTACCCAAACTGCTCCCACTACGGAGCATAACGACTTATATACAAATCCAATGTTTTTTGCACTTAGAGGACCCAGCCAATTATAGTGAGTGCTCTCGCCATTTGTTAAACCAGAAACCATTATGATGATTTTGATGATGAGACATCAACAGAATTCGCTTAGCAAGCCCTGACTCTGATGATCAACAGAATTCGCTTAGCAAGCCCTGACTCTGCTGATCAACGGAATTCGCTTAGCAAGCCCTGACTCTGCTGATCAACGGAATTCGCTTAGCAAGCCCTGACTCTGATGATCAACGGAATTCGCTTAGCAAGCCCTGACTCTGATGATCAACGGAATTCGCTTAGCAAGCCCTGACTCTGCTGATCAACAGAATTCGCTTAGCAAGCCCTGACTCTGCTGATCAACGGAATTCGCTTAGCAAGCCCTGACTCTGATGATCAACGGAATTCGCTTAGCAAGCCCTGACTCTGATGATCAACGGAATTCGCTTAGCAAGCCCTGACTCTGCTGATCAACAGAATTCGCTTAGCAAGCCCTGACGCTCCGCTCATGAGCCCCCAGAAGCGAGGTGGCTCACGGAACGGGAGCGCTCCGTACGTGTTTTGTGAAGAGCCGTGTGCTCAGCCCTCTCGTCCGCCGCCGCTGCTGGCGCGTCGCCGCCGTCGGCTCCATCTCCGTCCCAGTCGTCCCAGTCCTGCCCAGCGTGGTGCTCCTCGTCCGACAGCTCCCCCTCCAACAGCAGCAGCAGCGACAAGTTGGCACGCGAGGCCTCGGCACGATGAGGTGGAGGAGGAGGAGGGCGGAAGATCAGGCCCTTCTTCACGGGAGGCTGCCCCTCTGGCCTGAGCCCAAATGAATTGTCCAGGGCTTGTGCACAATGAAAAAAAAAAGGAATTGTGGTCAGAATTATAAACGGCAAAAGGTAAAGGTGCAACCCCCCGCAAGTGCTTGCCGATGCCTCTGTTGGCGGAAGGCGCTAGAAGGAGCTCTAAAGAGCCGCGTTAGAAGTGAGAGTACCAACACTTTACTCCGACACATGCGATGTGGGTGGACAGAGGCGAGGTAGGGGGTGGAGGCTTGAACTTGGACCGTTGTTTTCAACCGTCACCAATTGCTACGATTCATCATTTGATTCAAGGCTCGATCCTAATATTTCGTCTCAGTTGACTGACATTGTTCTTCATTCATCTGTCTCGTTTGAAACATTGTGCCTGTCGCAATTTTCTGAATGTATACCATGAGCATATAATTTGGGTATAAATAACATTGTGAGCGTAAGAATGCATTTCATTCATAGAATCGGTGCGTTGTTGTACACTTTCTGATTTATACGTGAATAAGGTGAGGCATTTGTACGTGTTCAAAAACTCCAACGCATTCGTCAATAATACTGCCTTAGAAATAATAAAAATATAATAGGCAACACTTTGGGCAATGGCCCTTTTTTATAGTTCAGACACAGAGATGCCAGAGAGACAGAGTGGATCATAAGGGTCGGACACTGCACACCATGGGGCCTGATTTCAATTAGATTTTTAAAATGTTTTCTGATGACCCATTTTTTAATAGGGAAATTAATAGTCGCTTTAAAGTTTGCGATTGAGTAACAGACAAACCTCATAATCAAAACGCATGACTACTAAATGAACGAATTCCTATCAAAGTCAAATGTTGCTGGCACATCGCATTGTGGGGACATTTGTTCCCGTGAGACCGAGGCGTGTTAACCTCGTGGACGCATTCCTGGGCCCAATTATCGTGTATTGTACGAGTTCGGTTTTAATTACGACATAACGCGGAACAACGATTTCAATGTCGCAATGTAATAGAGCAGAAAAAGGGTCTTGGTACAAAGCGCTTAAAAAGCAACGCCCCTGTGGAGAAGATGGGGAAAACATTTGCAGAATAGGCTGTGCATATTTGGCCAGGAGGCCCAGCAGATCATGGTGACCTAACTTTTTGCAAAAATATCACGGCACATTTTCAGTCCACGAGAGCCAGTTGACCGGACAGCTCCATAAATAACAAAAAAATAACATTGCCGTATTAAAGGCTGGATGTCATTAAATAGCGTGGCGCTGAAAACACCACAACAGCAACAACATCAACACAAATTCCACATAAGAAGATTAAGAGCGGGCGCTTGAACATGTGAATAATGATAAAAAAAAAATTCTACGGGAGTATATTTGACATTCTGTTTTTTTTATTTATTATTTTCGTGGTGTGGTGCGTCATCGTGGTGTGGTGCGTCATCTGGTCCAACACCAGTGGAGACTAGGCTCTAAGAAAAGCCGTCTCGGGTGTGGACCAATCAAATTTAAGGACAGTGCATATTATTATCAGAGTTGTCTCTTTTGTTTGCATTTTGACTGCTTGTGTTGTGGTTATTGCAAACATGATGCCTTGAATAAAGGTGTCAGTTTTTGTGCCAGTTGAAAGGGTAAAACCTATTACTATAGCACACGGGGCTTGTAGAATCCAGCGGTCCCGGGTGCGATTCCAACCAGCAGGCGAGGCAATTGGAACAATGGTGCTCGTTCCCTAGGTCCCCCACCGTCTCTCTCCACCCAGGAGTGTGAACGGGGTTGTCCACCACAGTTAATCGATCGGCAGGTCGCGTGTGGTGTGGAAGAGGAAGTCCCAAATACGCTGTCCGGCGCTCCCTCGGGCGGAGGCCCCCTCCGCCAGCAGCGGCGCGAGCCAGCGATTGCAGGGCAGCGCCCTTGCCGCCTTTACCGTGTTCGTAAATTATTTTGCACGGAACCACGTTCAGTTTATTTGGCCGGCGGGATTTATTATCATTATTATTACTACTGACATTATTGAAGGGTGCACTTATTGAAGGGTTTTTTTCTTCCCCCCCCCCCCACCTCGCCCCCCACAGCGTTTGTGAGAGAGGAACTGGGGAGCGCGGTAACTCACGGACGCAGTGCTTGCGGTCGTCCGTCAGCTTGAAGCCGCCCTGGCAGGCGCACTCGTGAGATCCGGCCTTGTTGACGCACTCCTGCTCACAGCCGCCGTTCTCAGCCAAGCACTCGTCCACGTCTGAGCGCCGGCGCGCGCCGCGGCGTTCAACGAGAGAGAGAGCGAGCGAGAGAGCGCGACTCACAACAGCAACAGAGTAGTAAGAAGGAAAAGTACCCGGCATACGAAGAGAACCACTTTCCCACTGCGACGCTTCTGAACCGTCTCGGGCGGTTACCTCCAGCGGCCCCAGCACCGTCTGCGACAAACGGTGGGCACAGCGGCTCCAAGAGACGCGTCTGCTTTTTGGGTCATTGCCGCGCGTCGTACGACGCGGGTTCGCACCGTCTCGCTTCGCCACGCAGCTGCCGCCCGGCATCCGCGGAGCGAAGCGCCAGACGGAAGTCGCGCCGAAACGAACGCGAGGTTCGATCCGAGAACGCGTCGGCGGAACAATTCGTCTCAGCGTTCGCGTCGAAACTTTGGTGGGGGGGGGGGGTGGTTGACCGGCAGATTCGGCACCGTCTCGCGGCCCGTTGTCGTCCGTTGGCCGCATTAAACGCATGATAAATAGCTCTCTCCGATGTGTTTCTGGTTGTGCTGTGCCGTGTGTTGCTTGGCATGATGTCCGTCGTTTCGCCCCATGTACTTGGAGCTCTACATGCTGGAAGTTCATTCAGTTCCTTCAGTACACGAAGCATCGGGACGTCAGACATCATGATTCCACAGTTGATGTTCGAATTGGGCCACGTAGTGATCTGGCCAAATTCGTATTGTTAAGACCACTCTATATCACTGAACAAAATGAATTGTCACGAGTACAAGAGTGCACGCGACTCCATGGATCTTGTGCTGATGTTTGCTTGGTCACGGTTTCAAGTGAAACGCTGTGGTGGCGAGATGATAATTACCTCGCCCGGTATACACGAGGTCGTGGGTTCAATCCCGACAATGACGCCTGTATATTTGGAGTTTTCATGCTCTCCCCATGGTGTTCGCGTGGAGTTTTCTCCAGTTACTCTGCTATAAATTCCCCAGTGATAAGCCACTTCATTTAACTATCATTTGTGGCCAGGTATCTTCTGAAAACGAGCTATATAGCTCAGTGGACCATACCTGGCAAAATAAAAAAAAAAATGGGTTCAGTTTAGTTTCTAAGCATCGTGTCTAATTGCTAAACTTGGTGGCGAGATTCGTTCTTGGACATAACCGGCGAGCTGACACAATCACGATGACTGCCACGTTGCCAAACGCTCTTTGCACGCGAGCCCTCTCTCCCAACGGGAGGCCCTTCCCGCAAGCAAGCGGCCGCACGCACGGCGCGCACGCTTTCCCCCCCCCCCCCCTTTTTGCAACACGTTACGGAGAGGTTCCGCCGTGTCGAGTGAAGACCACGGTGGGGTGGGAGGGGGGTTTGATGATGCAGTTTGTATTGTTGTTGTTGTTGTTGAGGAAATCGCTATCTTACCGTCGCACGCGCAGCCGTCGATGCCGAGCCTGTAGCCTGCGCGGCAGCCACACTCGTACCCTCCGGGATTGTTTGTGCAGTAATGGCTACAGCAGCTGTCGGCGACGCACTCGTCCACATCTGCGCGCGCGCGCGCTCGCACAAGAACGCAAACAGGCAGCAGCCAAGGCCAACGTTACTGAATCCGTCCCGGTGCCGGGCGCTAAATCACTCCACGCCTTCAAAGTGAATTCCTCGCACACAATGTACTGCACCGTATATGCCGAAGACATGTCGTTCTGTTTCGGTGACGAGCAGGAGACCCGCGCGCGTGCACACTGCGCGCGTGGAGGAACGGGCGCTGTCGATTTCACGGCCTCGACGTCGAGTCTCAACGTCGATCATCGCGCGGCCGGTTAAACGTCAATTCTGGGTCTCGGCGGACGGCAGCGCGTGATGGGGTGAAGTCTGGCCAGTGTGGAAGAGTGGGGCCAAAAATCGCATGCCGCAGGTTTTCTCCGAGAGTTTTCTCTGCTGCCAGCCCAAATGTGCGAGCCAAAAACTTGCACGAGTGCAAATTTACGGTGTTAATGTTAGCACCTTGACACGTTAAACGACACATGGAATAATCTTTGATTCGTATAACGTTGTCAGTATATATTGATATATTCACTACAATGTAATTTTTGTAAATACATTTTTAAAATACATTTGTGAGACGGAATCGTGACAATTTATCGGGTCGGGGGGGGGATAAAGGGCGCGGGAGGGAGAAGAGTTTCACTTTCATCGCGCATGCTGCCCAAGCGTCCGAAGAACGGAGTCTGCGCATTTCATCGTGAAGAATTCGTGATGTTGTTGGATTTGAAACGTACGCAGCGTGCAGCTATTATCGTGTTTTGTCGCACAAAGCACGTTGCCTGCTTGCATATTTTTTATCCGCCAAAGGAAACGTTTGCAACGAAAACTTTTTTTTTTCATTCTGTCCAGAATTATAAATCTCAAAAGAGTTGACTGCCCTCCTGCGATGTGTTCTTGGATCATGAGAGTGGGAAGACAGAAACGGCTGTTTACATGAGCCCAGCAGATGATCCTACATAGATACATATGTTCGGACATATGCCTTTAAGCTTCTTTTTAGATGCTCTACCAACGACTAGCAGTGTCTATGGAAAGCGCTGCAGTGGAAATACACTATCTTCCGGAATGTATTGTGAATTCCATGCACGCGTTTGATTGATTTAAAACTATGAAACGATAAACTATTTTATGTTTTATTTTACCAGGTGTAAGGCCCACTTAGCTTTCGAGCTCTCTTTCAAAAGCAACGTGGCCACAAATGATAGCTCAACGAGGTGACTCATCGTGTGGGAATTTTTGCAGCCAAATTCTCTAAATACAGGTTTCTAATTGTGGAGAGAAAACCCCGAGGGCCCGGAGAAATATCCACGCAACTACGGGGAGCGAGACACGCAAACTCCAAATACGCAGGCATCGTCAGGTGTTGGGATTGAACCCACGCACACCTGTATACCAGGCGAGGTAGTTAACATCTCGCCACCGTGGAGTTTGATGCAGTGAACAATTTGTCGTTTCTCATGACTCAAATCAATCCAAACCCCCCCCCACCACACCGTGTCCGCCGAGTATCCAACAGGCGCGACTAGGCCCACCCACCGACCGACACAGTCGCGCGTGACACACCGCTTAACCAAACTCCTCCACGACGTCTGGCCAGTTTGTCCAAGCAACAACAACAACGATAATTTACACTTGTAACGCGCACAGCATTCGCTCGCTCTCGAAAAGAGCGACCGAATGACTCGGAGGTGCGAGGAGGTACCACAGATAAACCAGGAAGGCGGCTGCAGCAACCGCGCGGTCAGCTGCCACCAACAATTGGCCAACCTCATCTGGCGGTCCCGAAGGGGCTCTCTAAGAGCTCCCTCTATTGGAGGTCCACCTGGCAGACATTTCAGGGCTGCACCTTTACCTGCTGAATAAAAAAAAATTCAGCATCTAATTGGGATTTGTTGAATTGTCGGCATCTGTTGAATTGTCATGATTTGTAGAATTGTCATGATTCAGGGTCATGGTTTGAATGAACAAAAAAAATCGCATCTAAGTTTTACCATGTGTTTTTTTATCGTTTCGCCTTATATTTGTTGTGCGTGTACAGATCTATTGCCTCATGAGTATTAATGTCACATCATAATATGTCTTTTATGTAATTTTCATAAATCTAAAAGAACAGAACACCACCCGCACGATTCAATGCATGTATCATGATGGGAAGGTAGATTTTTTTTTTAAATCAAGGATGGTAAGCATAATTTACATACCTGTTATATATCATGTCCATACATTTAATGGTCAACATTTTATCATTTTCCACCAGTAAAAAATGTCTTTTTGTGCATTAAGCTCCAATGTTATGAGCTGTGACAAGTGACACTTTACTCAATTACAATGGAGCGGCTGTTTGCACCAAATCATAATCGTTATCATTACTTTTATACGTATATATCTATTTCTGGATGATGACCTCCCCACACCACCATCCCTCACGATTCTACGATGCCACAATCCATCTCACTCCTGCACGGCGAACTGATCTCATTTCTCTGTATCCACAACAGTCATCCTCCCGGGTCCAATCTCTTTTCTTTTGGCTACCATTCTTGTCTAGAGGCCATGATCCCTTGTAGCCATCACCCGTCCTTGCCCAAGTCAACTCAACTTTTCTCAACAGTCAATATTGTGTCCCTGATTTTGTAGTTTCGTTCCCCGTTGGGGCGCCGCAGTGGCGAGATGTTAACTACCTCGCCTGGTGGTCGTGGGTTCAAACCCGACACCTGACGATGCCTGCATATGTGTAGTTGTCGTGTCTCTCTCGCCGTGGTCACGTGGATTTTTCTCCAGGCACTCCAGTTTTTCCCTCCACATTTAGAACCATGCATTGGGAGTATTTGGCTGCTATAAATGTCCACACGATGATACTCCACTTCGTTGGGCTATCATTTTGTGGCCGGGTCGCTTTTATCTAACTCTGTGCTCTTTAAGTACCCTCCGTGATATCACCTACTACCAAACAATACCAATAATTGGTCATCTCCAATTGTCAGTACTCTTGGCGTGGCTTAAACAAAAAAATATCCATACAATTATTCTCCTTCACAGTATCGGCGGCGGCGGCGGGGGGGGGGGGTCACGATTTGAGTCCAGATTCTTACTTTTGTTTTACATTGTCAGTGAAATATGGCACCCCTAGTGGCTGCATGATGGTGGATTTCTCTGCCGCCGCGGCTGCTGCTGCTGCTGCTGCCGCAGCCACTGGCGGCCGTTGCTGTTGAGTCACCTGTGCACGTCTTGCCGTCGCTCTCCAGGACGTATCCCTGCAGGCAGTGGCACCGGGGGCCTCCGCGGGCGTTCTCGCACCGCTGGAAGCAGCCCCCATTGTTTCTCTCGCAGCCGCTGATGATCTCCAGCTCGATGCCTGAAGTCGCGGAAAAAAAACCCGTACGTAATTCATCGTGATTATTGGGGCATGAGGCTTGTTTTTTTCCCAGGTAAGCCTGGTGGCGAGATGTTAACTTCCTCGCCCGGTATAAAGGAGGTTGTGGGTTCGATCCCGACTCTGACGCATGTATATTTGGAGTTTTGGGTCTTCTATCTCCCCCGTGGTCGCGTAGATTTTTCTCCCCGGTTTTTCTCCCCACAATTAGAAACAGGCGTTTAGAGTATATGGCTGCGACAAATTTCCACGTGATACGCCATTTCGTTGAGCTATCATCTGTGACTAAATCGCTTCTGAAAAAGAGATATTTAGCTCAGTGGGCTATGTACTGTATCACAGAAGGTTATGATCACAGTAAAAAAAACACATTAATCTTAGGATTACCTTCACAATCAATCAAACAAAACAAAAAAATATCACGATTATACTGTTACACTTTTCGCAGAAAAATACCACGATTGAGTTCCACATTTTTCGGAGAGGATAAAAAAAACCCACAATGACTCGATGAATCAGTCATTCCCATTAATAAGAACTACTGAGGCCACCTAAAGGAAGCACATTCCTCCTCCGGTGAATATTTAGGTTTCACGCTCATCGCTGAGAGGCAGCGATCCGTCACGCTGTCCCGTGACCTCAGGAAGTCGGTCAAATGTCTGACAATGCCCTCTGTGAGTTTGTAGCTTTCCACAGCCAACTTGTGATACGGCACTGCGAACAAGGGGAGCCCTTTATGATGATGATGATAATGAAAAAAATATCTTAGCAATGAGCTCTCTGGCGTGTTTTCGTGATCGGCACGATGTCCGACGTTTTGCCCCACGTGCTGGGAGCTTCTTCAGGAGCTTGAATGGATTGAAGCTTCCAGCTTGCGGAGGAAAACGTCGGAATGCAGTGCTGAACAATCAATCGATCTTCATTTTACGCGCCAATATCGCCCTCAATAAAGTGGGCATCAGTGCCACATTACAGCAGGAGGGGAACGGTACAGGGGGCAAGGAGCAACGAGAACGAGAACAAAAAACCCAGCACGACCTCAGCGGCTCACACTGACTGAGCAACAGGCGGTAGAAAATGAAAACACACCGGAGAGACCTACAGCGCAACCGCGAGACCCCACTTGATAGCGTCGCGGTGGCGAGATGTTAACTACCTCGCCTGGTATACAGGAGGGCGTGGGTTCGATCCCGATCCTGACGCCCGCATTTTTGTTTTGGAGTTTGCGTGTCTCTCTCTCTCCCAGTGATCGCGTTGATTGTTCTCCGGATCCCCCGGGGGTTTCCCTCCACATTTAGAAACCTGCGTTTAGAGTATTCGGCTGGCATACGTTTCCACGTGATAAGCCACTTCATTGGACTATCATTTGTGGCAAGTTGGCTTTAAAAAAAAAACAGCTATATACTGTAGGTCAGTGGGCCTTACCTAGTGAAATGAAGAAATAATTTAATAAATCGTACAGACGATTAACAACCATTTATACGGAAGGAGCTGCTTCAACGAGATTGCATGCGGAGAGAGTGACAGATTATCAATTTAAGACAGGAGTTATATTTTCATCCGGGCTATTCACAGCAACATTAGAATATATATATGTGCGTGAGCGTTCAAAGGGAGCAATAGAGTCACGCGAATTAACGGAGGAAATGTTATCCTGCTCGTGTCTACTGACGACACAACCAATAAAAATGCACTGCAGAACAATTATTGAAGAACTCAGGCTGCAGAATTGGCCTAAAAGTAATAATGAGCAAAGTCAGATAGTAAAATATAATAATTTTAACAAACTAAATAAAATACATATTTGAAGTTACATTCATTCCGGAGTAGGTATATCCTTTATTAATAGCATCATACTAACAGCTGGCATCCACGGAAACATTCTCGTAAGACATGTTGTACTTTTTGTTTAAATGAACTTAGAATTTAAATGCGCAGAATGAGGACAATTGTTCTGGCCAGCATCTGGCCTTACTTAAGCTCCACGCGTTATTGACTTCGCTTTTTTACGACTCATGCCTTGTCCACCACCTACCTGCACATTTTATTGTGACTATGCATGACTTGATCTTTAAAACGTGGATCATGCACACAGAATAGTTTCATTTTTCCCCTCCCGGTTTTTTTTATTTCCATATTTAGAAACAAAAGTGCGCTTATATTCTTAGTTTTTTCGGTAAAGTCACGTTGAAGAGAAACAACAAAATAATAAAATATATATAAAACAATAGAAAAATTATCACGACGTTTAGACCATAACTCAAACGGTCGTCTTCAGGTGTGTTGGTTCACATAAATTTATTTTTAAACGGCGCATTTATTTATTTATAAAAAAACGTTAGCGCCACGCGCAACGATTTGGCAGTTTACCCAGGACTAGTCCATCTATATTCTGAAAAGAGGAGGGGGGAGACGAAATTTTTTATAATGTATGCTGTCTGAAAGCCACTGTAAGCGTGAACAATCAATTAAGACCTGAAATGGTTTATCAAATCTTTCCAATGATTGCTAAGATAGAATCCATCTTCTCGGTTGAAATTGTCTCTGTGCTTGTATATGTGGATAGCCTCATGAACGAATCTCTCATGGAAGCCAGATGGCTTACAAAGAACCTCTGTCTTGGAAAAGTCAATGGCATGTGAGCCTACTGAATTAGAACAATGATCTGCCACGGCCGAGGTGTTGGTCCTACCGTGTTTAAGGTCTGCTTTGTGTTCACGAATGCGGTCCGAGACATGGCGTTTGGTTTCTCCAATGTAACTACTACCACAGAGGCAACTTAGTTTGTAGACACCAGGGTATTGTATGTCCAGAATCACATCTTTTACAGACGGAACCAGATCACGGATTTTATGTAATGTGTTGAAACGGACCTGGATCTTGTGTTTATTCAAGATTTTGGAGATCTTTTTTGTGATCCCAGCAATGTAGGGTAAAGTGATGGTTTTGAAAGGCTCCTCAAGAGGGTTTTTCTTCATGGTTTGAGTGATAGCTTTGCGGATTGTATAGTCGGAGTAACCATTAGCCCTAAGAGCTTGGTGTACGTGCTTGAGTTCACTGCTTATGTGTTCCTGGTCGGATATGCATTGGGCTCTATGATACAGAATCTTGATGAGAGAATTCTTCTGTGATGGATGGTGGTGGGAATCCGGTTTCAGATAAGCATCCGTATGGGTAGCTTTCCTGTAGACAGAGTGGCTCATTGAACCATCATGTCTCTTTTTAATTAGGACATCCAAAAAAGGTATCTTGCCATCTATTTCGACTTCCATGGTAAATCTGATGGCTGGGTGTATGGAATTGATGTGGTCGAAGAATTGGTCTAGAGCAGGCCGGCCATGTGGCCAGATGACAAAAGTGTCATCCACGTACCTCTTCCATAAGGTTGGGCGCAGAGTGGCAGTCTGGATGGCGTCAGTCTCAAATTTCTCCATGAAAATGTTAGCTATAACTGGAGAAATGGGGGAGCCCATTGGGGTGCCCTCAGTTTGTTTGTAGAAAGTGCGCTTAGTTTATTTGTCTGCTATAAATGTGTTTTTATACGTCATAAGCCACTTCGTTGAGCTATCATTTGTGGCCTGGTTGCCTCTGAAAAAAGAGCCATATAGTTCAGTGGGCCTTACCAAGTAAAATGAAAAAAAATAGTTTAGTTTTATACTCTTAATAGATCACGACGTTTCGATCGCAACAACCAGGGACCGTCTTCTGTTTAGTCTTCCGAAAGACGGGTCGCTTGTTGTTGCGATCGAATCGTCGGGATCTATTATTCTTTCTACTTACGTGACTTTACCGAAAGAACCAAAGAGTATGGATTCCTGCAGTCACGAAAGCTTCAAATAAAGTTTAGTTTTAGTTTGTTACATCTTTTATGCCAACCCGATGCTATATATTCGGTTGTATTAAACAACTCTTCAATGTCACATCGCTTACGTAAATAGCACAGTTGCTTTTATTGATTGCATTTACAAATCTGGGCCTGCGACGAGATGTAGTAAGCGCGTTTTATAGGAGGCCAGAGTTTAACTTTAATAAACATGGGAGAATGTGATATTTTTTTGCTTGTAAATAGTCGTGATTCTGGAAAGCAGATGTCTACTGTTGCCCGACACACTACGAATCTAAAGCATCATTAGCCCTTTGTATATATATAAATATTATCCATGAGTACAGAATAGTCACACGGCGTGTGCAGATCACAGCCTGGCCACCACTTTGTTGTGCACCACAAACACAAACTACAAACGCTCTCCGCTTATGAATTGGCATCAGACAATGTAGCACAAACAATGCCATCTCCTGACACCTGGACGACTACGAATGGTTCAAGGTGCAACTGCAGTCAGCAGCCTCAGACCTTGGACCACACATGAATGCCACGGTCCATCTCCTATCATTCTACGGCAGCGATGCATCAGATGTATATATGTTAAACTTCCTCAGCACCGTACATAGACAACCGTGCTCATTGTAAGTGCGGGGGAAGGACAACAAACGAAACACAAAACATGCGGATCCCTGATGCACAAATGCATAATAAAAAAAATCTCCAGTGTGCTACTGTGGTCATCCAGAACAGACCGCACAACGTATAACGACGCAATGCCCGATCCACAAATGCGAAGGAGACATCGCAGTGATACGCTCCGCTCATCCTGACGCGGGTTGTCTGGATTGAATGTGACATTGTTAGTTGTTGCTCTGCATCTGCAGCAGCCGCACGAAAGACGAGAAGACGCGATTCAGGCATTCGCCATGAGGCTACTCTTGAAGCGACCCACCGACATCGACACGACCATAGAGACACTGCGGAATAACTTTCCGCCACCGTGCGAACGAATGAGTGCAACCGTTAGACTTGAACGAGGCTGAACGAGGCTTTAAAGCGCAAGCTGGCAAACCGCAAACGAGAATTTTAAAAAAAATGTTTGCGAAACCTCACATACTTTGTCAAGCCAACATCGCGCAGATAACATTTCGCTACGGGACACATTTGGGCTGCTATTAGCTCGCACGCCCCTAAATTCACACCGTGGATCATTCCGCGATCCTAATCGCGTGTGCCGGTCACACCAGATTGTGGGTTCGTACGGGAGGGAGGGAGGGGATCTTGTGTTTTTTTGGCCCAGCGTCACATTTCAGCACATTATCAAACCCAGCCGGAGCAGGGCTTATAAAACACTGAGGCACGATCACACACCCGTGTGCCCACTCAGAAACGTTGCTGTGATATTGCACGAACCCGTGGAATGTGTGCGAATGTTCGCATGCCACTTTGGACAGGCATTCGCAGATGAAGCATTGCTTTTAAAGCGATGCTGTTTCACCAATGGTTGACCAAGTTGGTTTGATACGTTCTTGTTCACTTTATGATTACGGATGTTTAACCTTTGTAACGTAATCGGAGGCATCATTATTTAATTATTAATGTCTTATTAAAATATAATACTGACCTCATTGCTTTTCCAACATATTGTTATCTATACAAGTGAACGTAGCAGACTGTTTTAAAAACTCAAAATAACAGATTTTTTAAATGCCCTGTACTTAATGAAGGGAACCCTCCAGAGAGGTTTTTTTTTTTTTTAGAAGGATCACACATTCGGCTAATAATATTGACGATAATGCCCTTCATTTAGACAAGAGGCGTCCCTTCATTTGCAAAAATAAATCAAAATTACAGTTAAATCCAACAACAAACAGTTGACTTCCTGGACCAATGTAGCATTCATATGAATGCATATTTTTCCACAGTTTCATCCCGAGGCTGCTGCCAGTGTCCTGCCGTGAGACAGAGAAGGCAGCTGCATCTCTCGGTGTTAGAAAACGGCCTGCAGAAGTGGCAATCACGAGGCTACCTCTGAGATTCTTTCAAGCGACCTCTGTTCACACGCACACCATAGAGGCAGCAGCACTTCCCCACCCCACTCTGCCAGGTGACAGCCACACTGATATTTTAACTCGCAGAAACCGAAATGTCACCAAATATAATTTGTGGACATTTAATAATGAGCTTGGTTTTTTTGTGTGCTGTCGTCGTGGATTGTACCGAGACCATCGACTCACGGCATCCGAGAAAAGCAGTGTAATCACCGACAGCTGCTTGGATTCGATCCGAGGATCTCAGGTGGTGACAGCTCAGCCATTCGTGAAATGGTGGTGCTTGTTTTGGCGAGGATGGAGGCGGTCGAATGGTGCCATCAGATCCGGATTACCTTTGAGGAGGGCGGGGGGCCAGGTGCAGGTGGTGGGAGCGAGGGGGGTGGCGCTGAGATCGTTAAAGGTTTGTGAGGGCCTCTCTTGATATTTTTAGCTTCCTTCTCTACCACCGCTGTCAAACACCCCGGGTGGGGACCCGCCCCCGTTTTACCCTGGTGATTTGTCATTCTGTGATTGAAAATATATATAGTGCTGTGAATTGTAAAGGTAATTCGAAGTTACAATGAACGCATCTATTTAAATTTCAACGGTGTTATTTTCATAATTGTAAAAGCGATTAATAATTTTAGGGGTTTCCATCAAAATTCAAGGCCCCCCTCCCGGGTCCTGAGCTATTGGTGGAAATTTCTCATTCATATGGTGGGTGAGAGTATGTATTTTTTTTAACAAAGGCCCTGCATTAATCAGAATCTATATTTAGACTGGAAAAATCCGATGAGCCCTGAAGCTCTATTTAACAGATGTCAAGTGGGGGAGGGGGAGGGGGGAGTCAACAAGTTATAACAACTAATGAAACATGAAGATAAAAGAGCAAGATAGAGAAAAATTGAGCAAGTTACTTATAGAAAATATTAAGTGTAGAAGTACAATTTGCACTCGTACATGAATTCCCGCAGATTTGTCAACAATACAGAGCAAGCTTGGGGCAAGGTAGAAAACAACAACAACAACAGTCTCGGACAACACCAAGACAACACAGTCCCGAGCACGGGTTGGCTACGTACGGTGAACCGACGATGGGCTGAGTCAACCCCCCCATTGTCAAATCGAACGCGCAGCCTTCCCACGGCGAGCCAATTGCTCTACCACTGAGCCACCAGGCCCTCGTTTCCAGGCGCTGGATGCCGTGCAGTTGGGTGTCTCACGATAGCAGTGCTTCTTGCTGGGCCCCAGAGAATAGCCGGGGTAGCAGGAGCAGGCGAAGGATCCGCGGGTGTTGTGACAAACGTGCGAGCAGTGAGCCAAACCCAGCGCGCACTCGTTCAGATCTGCGGAGGAGGTGGAGGGGCGGGTGGGGGCGGGGGGCGGAGAGATGAATGGTCGTATCAACGCGCGAGCACAAAAATGACGCGAAAATAAATCGGCAAATTTGTCCGCTCGTGTCTCGTGATGGGCTCTTTCGGCACGCTTCGCTGTCCGTCTCCGCTTCGCCTTGTCGAGTTGCCTTAATGTAGTCCGATGAATGCGAGATGTTTCCAATGAACTGTGAGAATTCTGAGTGCGTTCGGTTGCGGAGAACACAAATGGTGATGTCAAATATTGAGTGATTTTTTTTTTTAAGAGAACACATTTCTGACATTCCGTAATTCAAAAATGTTTGTTTTGGCACTGCGACAGCGAGTTTAAAGTTTCTTTATTATTCAAAACAAATCATGAAAATTGACACTTTCGCAAAGTATAAAGCTTTGCCAATGAATCAAATGCATTTTTTTTCGAGAAGCACTTACAAACTGCATAGCAAGTATTTCAAATTAGGTTTACTTTGGCAGCGAGAGTGTCTACAAAGGGCCGCGGGGGAAAGGAAACGAACTTCACCTGTGACTGGCGTTGGACAAGCGAAACCTCCGCACCGCCTTCCTCCACCGCCCCTCGACAATTTCTGAACTTTTTTCTTTTCGATATTTCCCGGGCGTGTGACGGACCGACACCTCGCGTACGACACGCCTGGAGCCTTCTTGGCAGATCGCGCGCGAGCAGACAGACCGCAGTCCGTAGCACGCGCCGCCGAAACGCTTTCTTTCCGAGCCCCGCGCGGTCATTTCCAATTTCCCCCACGCGGAAATGGATTTCGCCATGCAAGCCTCGCGTTCGTTCCTCCGCCGCTTCCTCGCCAAGGGGGCGGCGCGGGTTAGCGAACACGGAACGTCGCGTGCACGTACACGGCGCGCGATGTCGTCCACTGGGGCGCCGCAGTGACGAGACGTTAACTACCTCGCCCAGAACACAGGAGGTCGTGCTTTCGATCCCGAACCCTGACGCCTGCTGTATGTTTGGGGTCCACAAGTTCTCCCCGTGGTCGCGTGGATTTTTCTCCTGGGTTCTTCGTTTTTTTTCCCCTTCCACATTTACAATGAACATGCGTTTTGAGTATTTAGCTGATGTAAATTTCCACGTGATAAGCCACTTCGTTCAGCTATCATTTGTTGTAGCCAGGTCGCTTCTGAAAAAAAATAGATATATAGCTCAGTGGGCTTTACCTGGTAGTTATTTTGTGAACAATTTGCGATGAGACGCACCTATCTGGATTCAATTCCTGACCACGGCTAACATGAGCGGTGTATGATATCATTACCGGGCAGGACATCTATTTGAAATATGTTAAGAACAGACTTTTTTTTTACTTGACGTGGCCGAGTGGCATCGCGTTCAGCACTTGTTCCATTGGCTCATGGTTCGAATCCGGTAGGCTGCCCTGGTTAATACAGCGGGTGCATAATTTATGAAATAAGTGCCATCTGCTTTCGTGGAGTGGACGTTAGAGGTCCCCATGACACCATTTGAAAGCGGAAGCCATCGTGTGCTGCCTTTATGGTTCATATTTGAAACATCACTAAAAATGGGAAATGCATAGCAATCGTCCCCTCCTATTGTGAAAATGTATCAGGTATGTTGTGGAACAGAATTGAGACTCAGTGAGGCTTTTAAATGTATATATTAAATGTATGTATGGTAGTTGATCTTCTTTCACACCATACGTAGCCAATCGTGCTAATCGGATGTGCGGCAGAAGGACAACAAACTGAACAAAAAAAACAGTTCTAAAGAAATTAGTTTTTAATCTAGACGATTTAAAAGTGCATGCATGGCTCCAGTGGTTTTCTAATATCAGAAGGAAGAGCGTTCCAGACGGCCGCAGAAGTGCATCTGAAATCACGTGACGCAGTGATGACCAGCCACAAGGTGCCGCTGCGAGAATGATCGGAGTTTGCGTGATGATTATGCTCCTTGTTGAGGTCAGCGGGGTGTTGTGGTTTGTTTGTGGCAAGCACTTTGTGTGTGCGACCTTATCACGTGAAAAGGCACAGGAAGGCCATTTGAAATATGTAATATAAAGACAGCAAGTCCGTTACTCCACTTTAAGTAAAGTTTATTATTTTATCCATTGGCCTACGCGCCTGCCAGATCTGTAATTTCCAATGTGGTTTATTTAAGCAGGCAAACTGTCTACCCGTTTTGACCTCCAGGGATTCGTCAACAGAGAGTCTGCCGGCTTGCCAGACATTATTGCAAAGAGCAGTGGATGAAAACAGTGGGGCCCATTCAGCGTGGAACGCAGCGAGGGCTCCTCATAACGAATGGCGTGCCGCGCACATGTGCGGCTCTGGTGCTCATGCACTAATGTGCCATGGTAGGCGTTTTATTGGCACGTTTCATCTCTCTGAAAACATGATTGTTCAAACTGTTTTTTAAATCATCCGCATTCTCGTCCAAGTGCTGCGATTTTTTTGTTTTGTTCCACGCGACAGACTTTTTTTTTCTCATGTTGCGGCTCCCATTTATTTGGCCGACGAGCTTTGAACACTGCAGTTCATCCACCGCGCTTAATTCGCGGCAACTCGCAGATGTTGGCACGTCGGCGTTCGCGTTGGGCTAATCTCGAGTAGAGGTGAGCTTCGGTGGAATTGTTCGTCACACGCGTCGCATGTGATGTCATGAAGCAAAGGGGTGCAGCTCTGTTATAGATAGCTTGGCTCACACCACTGCTGGTGAAAGGCGTCCACTCGAGGGAGCCCTTGAAAAATTGAGGGTATTTTTGGCCTTCTCTTACACAATGGCCAGACATCCTGGCAGAGGTGGAAGTACCCACACTTTACCACACCACACGTGACCTGCCGATCGAGTGACCGTGCTGTACCCAGTCCCGGATTAAGCTAGTGCGGGGTTTGTAGCATAAGTTAATAAGGGGCCCCAAATAAAATGTAAAAAACATAAATATTAAAACACATTTTTTTTTACTTGCACAGTAAAGTAATTGTTTTTTTTCCATTTGCTATACAGCCAGATAATACGACAAATGGCGAACCTTAAACACCCAGTCGTTCGTATAAGTTGAAGGCAGTATAGTGCTATAGTAATAGAGCAAGTGCAGAATCACTGAAGCGGAATTGATAGCTTGAAAGCATTTAGCGTGGGGCCCTTTGCAAGTGCGGGGCCTGTAGCGTGTGTAGCTACTTTCGCTACTAGGATAATTCGGCACTTAGTGCACCCATTCATACAGCTGGGTAGGACAGAGGCGGTGGGGAAGATTCGCGATACTGCTCCCCCCCTTTGATTCAAATTCAAATGCCCCGGAAGGGCATTTGAACCGGTTGACCTCTGGATTGCAAGTCCGGTCGCCTTAACCGTTACACCGTGTGGCAGCGTCCAGCGCGTGTACATTATACTCACATTTGCAGTTAACAAAAAAAATCTAATGAATAGCATTTTTTTGCTTGAGCCACTAATGTGAGACAGGAAGTGATCAACTTCAATCGGGTCAGCTTGCACGGTGGTTTGAGCGCACGGCTTGCGAGTTGTGACCTTGAATATTGTGCGGGCTTCCAGCCAGTGTTGATAAAAAAATGAGTACAAATCCGAAGTCAACAGTTTATGACAGTGTATAGACTCTGCCCTGCCAAAGGAATTTTGAATTTCCACCACCGATTCAAAAAATGAGCACCGCCTTCATTATTTTGAGTGGGAACCCACGTGAAAATATGATTGAATGAATAAAAAAAAAGTTTTAATATATTTATTTTCTGCACAGCTAATATATAACTTCTTCAGTTCAGGAGTCGTTATTTTATCCCGAGGACTTTAACGATGAAAATGTAACAATACAAAAGAGGCGGCGACAAGAGAAACACGCGTATTGGAGAACGTACGCCGGTGAAAGGCATCATTCAAACTGTTCATTAAAAAACGCGAGCGGGTTTGGGCAGGGCTCGTTGCTGGAAGGGTTTTTTCGATGGCTCATGGTCAAGAATTACGTTGGAGTGCTCGCCGAGGGATGCGAACGCGTCCGGAGAAAACACGTCCAACGGGGAGACGCCGCGATGGAAATCAGTGCGCACGGGAGCTGGTGAGAACGATTTCGTCGCAGGATCGTGAGCGACGGCGACAACGTTTTGGAGGGCATCCATCCAGCAGCGGATTGCTAATAACACCCTGTTGGTACAGCCCCACAAGTTGCTGCTCGTTTTTTTTTATTTACCAACCCCAGATAAGTGACATCGTTGTATCCCTCTAGTCAAGTGTACACAACTATTTTCTTTAATGGGTACAACGGTCGTATAAAAAAAAATGTGTACGGCAAGACCCTATCCATGGGCTCAATTATTCTGAAATGTCCCAGCAGGAGCAGAGGGAGGGAGGTGGGGGAGGGAAATCCGGTATATTTACTCATGAAAACACGCAGCACCCATTAAACTAAAGGCAAAACACACAAACCACTGAAATAAGGTCATTTGTTTTGATGGCAATCATCTTGTTTCCTTTGCTTGGTATATGGACATCTTCTGTCCAGTCGATGTTTGCTATGTGTGTGCAAGTGCGCGCGCGTGTGTGTGTGTGCTCTGGGCAGTAGGAGGCAAGTCGCCCTCCAAGAACAACTGAGAGCTGAGAAGCGACACACACCGAGTCGGCGCAGCGGGGAGCGCAGGTGGTGCATCTGCCAAGCACCTCGGTCAGCTGACGTGTAACAACTCTGGGTGTGTCCCATGACCTCCTGCCAGCGAATCTGTGACACTTCTCGTGGTATTAAAGTGCGTTTAGCCTGGTGCAAGGTCTGTGAAGATGTTACCGTCACTGCTGGATTGTGAATGGAGGCTGTGGTTGTTGATGTGATCCCAGCGGTTGCTGGGTTTACTCACGGTCCACAAATACACGCCCTTGGCAAAAAGTAACGGAATCTATCTTGGATCTCCCGTAGATCAACTTGGCCTAATATGAGTAGCCGGCGTGGTGCGTTAACATCAGCACTCCAGAGACAAAGTTGGTTGGACGTGAATATTATATTCATAATTACAATAATAACGACCATTATTTATCCGGGAAAGCTTCACCGAGTCTAAAGACTTTTTTTTTTACAGGATGGCCCTACATTGGGATGTTTATCCGGTGAAATTCATGTGTGTCTTGCAGGAGGATAGTGGGGTGCCTGGAGAAAGCTCACACAAACGAGGGGGAAAACGCAATCGTGCCCCATTGTCTCACTGCCTCACCAGGTCCCAAGCCTAAAGCACCCGGCATGCTCCCATTCGAGAACTAACCAGGCTCCACCCGGCTTAGCTTGCGAGATCTGACGAGATTTGGCACATTCAGGGTGATTTAACCATGTTCAAGGTGAATACGTTGACACTGATAGGTGACTTTGTTCACGTACTGTATATATATACATCACTCGGCTGTGGCACAGTTGTTGAGCAAGAGTTTGACTGCGTCAGCTTGGTGAAAGTATGGTTCATTATTTGTATATATTGACCCGTGTGTGGGTTTTCAACCTGGTTTCCTCTCTGACGACGATACAATCCCATCGTTTGTTTTCCCCCTTGTGCACCCTGCGTCCCGTGCTCGCCTTAATAGGAACTCACGAACCTTGGTGATCCCGTTGAGGAGGATAATCCATGATCACGCGAACTCCGGTTGCTGTCAGCGGTTTGCCGCTAACCATCGAACAACGCGGCGCTCTCTGTGGTCGTCTGGAACGCTCTTCCTTCCGACATTCGGAAGCCACTGGAGCCACGCACTTTTAAAGCTAGGTTGAAAACGGATTTCTTTAAGAAGCGCTTTTTGTGTTTAGTTTGTTGTCCTTCCCCCGCACCTCCGAATAGCACGGTTGGCTACGTACGGTGCGAAAGAAGTTCTACATGCACACGCACTAACCACACTTACTCCGATGGTCGATGAAGCAAAACGGGGACTGTGTGCGCGTGTGGACGGACGTGCGACCGCTCGCGCTTGTTTGTGGGAACATTTGCTGTCGGGTTGGTATATTTGTTTATCGACGGTGCACAAGCCGAACAGCGGCCCCTTGCCAGCCCCAGGCTGAAAGATTTCAGGGCAATTCTACTGCGGATTGCTTTAACATATAAAGTCCAGCAATTTCTCACACATATAATTACGGACAAATAAGAGGCAGTGGTTCATTCCGGCCAAAAATTCCTCATTAAGAAACGCAATGCCCCCCCCACCCCCCCCCCCCGCCACAAAGTTTGACAAGTAACATTAAATAAATTGTAACATTTATATACTGAAAGTTATCGCGGTCATTGGTTTGCAATATATTTGAAAACATATTAGTTTGTTGTTTATTGCGTAATGAGTTGTGAGCTTGCGCCGCAGCGAGTCGATCGGGCTGCCGTCGGAAGTGGTGCCCACGCGCAAAATAAACAAAAAAAAATCCTCAACGCACTCGTCAAGAACGCTGCGGCCGTAAGAGAAAATAAAATATATAATCGGTGGTGCTTTGGCCAATGTCCCTCTCTTCTTAGCACATAAATAGAGAGGCCAAAGAGTGGATAAGAGCTGGAGACTGCACTTTACCCAATGGGGCCTGATGAGAATCACATTTAAAAAAAACATATTTTTTCTGATCACCACTTATTCCATGACCTCTGGCTGGCGTAGAAGAGTAGGCCCAAAACACCCTCCGGGAGTGCCTCTCTGCAGCTCCCTTGAGTGAAAGCCCTCCTGCCAGCAGCGGCGCGAGCAACGAATTGTTTCCGGCGAAACCCCTGACCTTTGGTAGCGACAGCGTGGCATGCAGGCTGTCGGAGACGGTGTGGGGTGAGCGAGGGTGAGCGAGACTCACCGTCGCATGTCCTCCCGTCGGCGTTCAGCTGGAATCCCGCGCGGCAGTCGCACCGCACCGAACCGCCTTCGTTGTGGCACTTCTGTGAGCAGCCACCGGTCTTGTTGGTGCACGGGTCGATCGCTGGCGGGAGCGGGGGGGGAGAGAGCAAATGATGCGGTGATGCTACCGCTGGTGCTGCTCATCAAAACACAAGCAACAATAACAACAACAAGCTCATATCTGTGGGATCCCTTTCTGCCAGTATCTACATTTACAATTCCAGCACTTTACTCTCCGACACACCGGTGTGCTGAAGTGGTAACGAATTGGCCACGTTTTGTTTACGTGACAACAAAAACTTACCGATTGGCTGCGTTGGGTGGTGGCGGGGTTTCACGACACATTTATATTTACACGATCTAACCCAAAAAAAAAACCTTTACTACGGATGATATTGGTCGTGAAAGCCTACTGTGTGTTAAACTGATATGTGAAAAGTGACGTTTAGGGCGAAAGCCCTTCTTCATAGCACGTCAACTTAAGGATGTACATCTTCACAGATTATGCACCGCAACGAAGCATTACATGGTGCTCCCACGCTTGTAGGAACACAAGGTGCAATGGTCAATTGTAGAAATGCACATGTACGACGATTCTTTGGATAATCCACTGCTGGGTGAGGGCCTCCCCATGCCGTGGGGGTTATTTGACAATACTCAGCACGGGGATGACGAAGGTTGGGAGCACAGATTTCGAAGTGCAGAAACACGGTGTAGCATAATGGATATTTCTGCACTGCCCCCTAACAATCTGTGTGTGTGCATGACGGTCACCCCACAGAAGCATCATCCACCGGGGAAAAAAAAAAACCCTGCTTAGCTTCCTAGACTTCACGAGATCAGGCACATTCCAGATGAATTGGTCAAAGGGCTAAGTAATATACATACTTAAAAAAATTCAGATTAATTTCTAAACTAATTGAGATGAAGAATGAGAATTTCTAAGGAAGCATGAATTGCATTATTATTTACACGTTGAATTGAACATGCAGACACACTCAAGCTCTCGCAGGCTACAAATCCACGCGCGTGATTACACAACCTTACAGACGCAGAGGCGAAAACACATGATATACACACCAGACAAAATAAATCCATCCATATTAAACAAAAGTAGCCGCATGCATATCTGGAGTTCGATCGCACGATCATTAATCAAACAACCTTGTTTTATAAAAGAATGTTTTCATTATGAACAACTAAATGGTTTTGTTGTTATTATTCTAAGATTGGGATGGAGCAGTGGTGCAGTGGTTAGCACATTACACTATGAACCCTGCGACCTCAATGCAATTCCCAGCCAAGGTTAACATCTGCGGTTTACGTCAGCTGTATTCTTATTTTTTTAATGAAATTATTGTGCAGTTTAGTTTAGATTTGTAACGTTTATAATTGATGTTTTTTTAATGTTCTGTTGAATTATAAATCTACTTAAGCTGAAGGTGCAATGTATCATGTGTCTCCTGGTTAAACAAAGGATGCTACTGCTTACGCCTAGCAGCAGGTTATATCTGAACCGGTCCTGACCAGTGTGATGAGATGTGGTCAAATAACCCCCATACAGTGAGGGAAAAAAGTAATTGATCCCCTGCTGATTTTGTACGTTTGCCCACTGACAAAGAAATGATCAGTCTATAATTTTAATGGTAGGTTTATTTGAACAGTGAGAGACAGAATAACAACAAGAAAATCCAGAAAAACGCATGTCAAAAATGTTATAAATTGATTTGCATTTTAATGAGGGAAATAAGTATTTGACCCTTCGGCAAAACATGACTTAGTACTTGGTGGCAAAACCCTTGTTGGCAATCACAGAGGTCAGACGTTTCTTGTAGTTGGCCACCAGGTTTGCACACATCTCAGGAGGGATTTTGTCCCACTCCTCTTTGCAGATCTTCTCCAAGTCATTAAGATTTCGAGGCTGACGTTTGGCAACTCGAACCTTCAGCTCCCTCCACAGATTTTCTATGGGATTAAGGTCTGGAGACTGGCTAGGCCACTCCATGACCTTAATGTGCTTCTTCTTGAGCCACTCCTTTGTTGCCTTGGCCGTGTGTTTTGGGTCATTGTCATACTGGAATACCCATCCACGACTCATTTTCAATGCCCTGGCTGAGGGAAGGAGGTTCTCACCCAAGATTTGACGGTACATGGCCCTGTCCATCGTCCCTTTGATGCGGTGAAGTTGTCATGTCCCCTTAGCAGAAAAACACCCCCAAAGCATAATGTTTCCACCTACATGTTTGACGGTGGGGATGGTGTTCTTGGGGTCATAGGCAGCATTCCTCCTCCTCCAAACACGGCGAGTTGAGTTGATGCCAAAGAGCTCCATTTTGGTCTCATCTGACCACAACACTTTCACCCAGTTGTCCTCTGAATCATTCAGATGTTCATTGGCAAACTTCAGACGGGCATATGTGCTTTCTTGAGCAGGGGGACCTTGCGGGCACTGCAGGATTTCAGTCCTTCACGGCGTAGTGTGTTACCAATTGTTTTCTTGGTGACTATGGTCCCAGCTGCCTTGAGATCATTGACAAGATCCTCCCGTGTAGTTCTGGGCTGATTCCTCACCGTTCTCATGATCATTGCAACTCCACGAGGTGAGATCTTGCATGGAGCCCCAGGCCGAGGGAGATTGACAGTTCTTTTGTGTTTCTTCCATTTGCGAATAAGCGCACCAACTGTTGTCACCTTCTCACCAAGCTGCTTGGCAATGGTCTTGTAGCCCATTCCAGCCTTGTGTAGGTCTACAATCTTGTCCCTGACATCCTTGGAGAGCTCTTTGGTCTTGGCCATGGTGGAGAGTTTGGAATATGATTGATTGATTGCTTCTGTGGACAGGTGCCTTTTATACAGGTAACAAGCTGAGATTAGGAGCACTCCCTTTAAGAGTGTGCTCCTAATCTCAGCTCGTTACCTGTATAAAAGACACCTGGGAGCCAGAAATCTTTCTGATTGAGAGGGGGTCAAATGCTTATTTCCCTCAAAATGCAAATCAATTTATAACATTTTTGACGTGCGTTTTTCCGGATTTTTTTTATGTCATTCTGTCTCTCACTGTTCAAATAAACCTACCATTAAAATTATAGACTGATCATTTCTTTGTCAGTGGGCAAACTTACAAAATCAGCAGGGGATCAAATACTTTTTTCCCTCACTGTAACTGACATGGTATAGGTAAGCTTTCATCCAGCAGTGGATTGACAAAGGGCCATACATTATTATGTTTTTTTTTAAAGCCAATTGCAATTATTCGCACACTGGCCCATTGCTAGATATGCCTACATTGCTTTCCATAAATTGCCGGGTTTTTTTAACGTACAATCTATATAAAATAGGAAGCTACCACAGTGTATTGGTGAGCACAATTTACTTGCAATTCGGAGGTTGCCATTTCTATCACCTGGCAATGCAGGCGAAACAACGGTGCAAGCTTCGCTAAATCTCCTTGCCTCTGCCCACCCAGCAGTGTAAATGGGTTTACCGCGGTTCGTCAATCGGCAGGCTGCACGTGGTGGTGTAAAGCGTGGGTGCTTCCACCTTCGCCAGGATGTCGGACCAGCGTGGAAGAGTCGGCCGAAATCCCCTCGAGAGGGATGTCTCTAGAGCTCGCTCTCGTGGAGGCCCTTGTTCATGCAGTGGTGCTAGCGATCAACTTTCAGGACTGCACCTTTATCTTTGCCTTTTCATACTTCAAAACAAAGTAAAATTCCCTGCGGTGCATTCTTTTACATGGCATTCCACACATTAACGCTATTATCCTTGGTACGAAAACAAAACACGGAGAGGATGCAATTGTGAACATTTCTTCAGCGTGCTCGAACGGTGACATCACCTCCCCCAACACGTCAGAAAAAAAAGATACATTAATGAAACAAAGCATTTGCTGGCAAATATTTTCCATATCATGGCCAAGCCAACAGCTGGGCGTGAGCGGTCAAACGACTCAGAGCTGTGCCTTAAAATTGCGGGCGAAGAGAGAAATGTAAATCGCCCCATCCCCTCTCCGATTCCTGAAGGAGGCAAGGGGTTAACGAGGGGCCACGATCTAGTGGGGGTCCAATCTTTCTCAGGCCCCTTTTTTGATGAATTGGCCCCAGCTGCCACTGTTAACTACTGCATTTTTTTCTGAGCGTCACTCCGAACAGATTTTTTTTTCCGCTCACCCACATTCTCAAAGAATTTTCACAAATAAGGGAAACGTGAAAATGTGCAGCCCTGTAATTGCTTGCTCATGACACTGCCAGATTAAAGGCCACCATTATTGGCCTTTCATCCAGAGGTCACTGGTTCAATCCAACTCTGTACCACTGAGCAGCATATATGGGTACTTCAGAGTTATTGGGTCATCGAACAAAGACGGTGGTCACCGCATCGCGCGCTTTCAGATGCGCTCCTGTGGTCGTCTGGAACGTTCTTTCTTCCGATATTAGGAAACCACTGGAGCCGTGCACTTTTAAATCATCTGTATTGAAAACTAATCTCTTTAGGACTGATCTTGACTTAAAGCTTTCGTGACTGCAGGAAATCATATTAATTGGGTCTTTCGGTAAAGTCACGGAGATGGGTTCAAAGAAAATAACAGAATGGCAAAAAACGACGACCGCTTGTGTTACGATCGAAAGGTCGTAGTTTTTTTTTTGTTTGAACCTATCTACGTGACTTTACCGAAAGACCCAAATAATATCTTTAGAACTGCTTTATGTGTTTAGTTTATTGTCCTTCCCCCACACCTCCGATTAGCATGGTTGGCTACGTACGGTGCGAAAGAAGTTCGACATACGTACGTACAGAGCGGGAGCTATTCTTCCACATTGGCCAGGTATCTTGAAACAGGTGACCAGAATTTACATCAACCAAACACAGAGGAAATCATCTACATTACATAATTCAAATTCTAAACGTATAACGCATGCAAACAGTGTATGGGGAGAAACACAGTTAAACCCCCGACCTGTTTGAGGTCCAGTATGATCGGCACTAGTCATTTATACCTTCATCAGGAGCTAACAGGCACTATACCTCAGTCATTCATACCTTCATCAGGAGCTAACAGGCACTACCCCAGTCATTCACACCTTCATCAGGAGCTAACAGGCACTCTACCCCAGTCATTTATACCTTCATCAGGAGCTAACAGCCACAATACCCCAGTCATTCATACCTTCATCAGGAGCTAACAGGTACTATACCTCAGTCATTCATACCTTCATCAGGAGCTAACAGGCACTATACCCCAGTCATTTACACCTTCATCAGGAGCTAACAGGCACCATACCTCAGTCATTTATACCTTCATCAGGAGCTAACAGGCACTATACCTCAGTCACTTATACCTTCATCAGGAGCTAACAGGCACCATACCCAGTCACTTATACCTTCATCAGGAGCTGACAGGCACTATACCTCAGTCATTCATACCTTCATCAGGAGCTAACAGGCACTACCCCAGTCATTCACACCTTCATCAGGAGCTAACAGGCACTCTACCCCAGTCATTTATACCTTCATCAGGAGCTAACAGGCACAATACCCCAGTCATTCATACCTTCATCAGGAGCTAACAGGTACTATACCTCAGTCATTCATACCTTCATCAGGAGCTAACAGGCACTATACCCCAGTCATTTACACCTTCATCAGGAGCTAACAGGCACCATACCTCAGTCATTTATACCTTCATCAGGAGCTAACAGGCACTATACCTCAGTCACTTATAGCTTCATCAGGAGCTAACAGGCACCATACCCAGTCACTTATACCTTCATCAGGAGCTGACAGGCACTATACCCCAGTCACTTTTACCTTCATCAGGAGCTAACAGGCACTATACCCCAGTCACTTACACCTTCATCAGGAGCTAACAGGCACTATACCGCAGTCATTCACACCTTCATCAGGAGCTAACAGGCACTCTACCCCAGTCACTTATACCTTCATCAGGAGCTAACGGGCACTATACCCCAGTCACTTATACCTTCATCAGGAGCTAACAGGCACTATACCCCAGTCAATCATACCTTCATCAGGAGCTAACAGGCACTCTACCCCAGTCATTCACACCTTTAACAGGAGCTAACAGGCACAATACCCCAGTCACTTATACCTTCATCAGGAGCTAACAGGCACTATACCCCAGTCATTTATACCTTCATCAGGAGCTAACGGGCACTATACCCCAGTCACTTATACCTTCATCAGGAGCTAACAGGCACTATACCCCAGTCAATCATACCTTCATCAGGAGCTAACAGGCACTCTACCCCAGTCATTCACACCTTTAACAGGAGCTAACAGGCACAATACCCCAGTCACTTATACCTTCATCAGGAGCTAACGGGCACTATACCCCAGTCACTTATACCTTCATCAGGAGCTAACAGGCACTATACCCCAGTCAATCATACCTTCATCAGGAGCTAACAGGCACTCTACCCCAGTCATTCACACCTTTAACAGGAGCTAACAGGCACAATACCCCAGTCACTTATACCTTCATCAGGAGCTAACAGGCACTATACCCCAGTCACTTATACCTTCATCAGGAGCTAACAGGCACCATACCCCAGTTATTTACACCTTCATCAGGAGCTAACAGGCACTCTACCCCAGTCACTTTTACCTTCATCAGGAGCTAACAGGCACTATACCCCAGTCATTTATACCTTCATCAGGAGCTAACAGGCACTCTACCCCAGTCACTTATACCTTCATCAGGAGCTAACAGGCACTATACCCCAGTCATCCATACCTTCATCAGGAGCTAACAGGCACTATACCCCAGTCACTTATACCTTCATCGGGAGCTGACAGGCACTATACCCCAGTCACTCACACCTTCATCAGGAGCTAACAGGCACTGTACCTCAGTCATTCACACCTTCATCAGGAGCTAACAGGCACTATACCCCAGTCATTTATACCTTCATCAGGAGCTAACAGGCACTATACCCCAGTCATTTATACCTTCATCAGGAGCTAACAGGCACTCTACCCCAGTCACTTATACCTTTAACAGGAGCTAACAGGCACAATACCCCAGTCACTTATACCTTCATCAGGAGCTAACAGGCACTATACCCCAGTTATTTACACCTTCATCAGGAGCTAACAGGCACTCTACCCCAGTCACTTTTACCTTCATCAGGAGCTAACAGGCACTATACCCCAGTCATTTATACCTTCATCAGGAGCTAACAGGCACTATACCCCAGTCATTTATACCTTCATCAGGAGCTAACAGGCACTCTACCCCAGACACTTATACCTTCATCAGGAGCTAACAGGCACTATACCCCAGTCATCCATACCTTCATCAGGAGCTAACAGGCACTATACCCCAGTCCCTTATACCTTCATCGGGAGCTGACAGGCACTATACCCCAGTCACTCACACCTTCATCAGGAGCTAACAGGCACTGTACCTCAGTCATTCACACCTTCATCAGGAGCTAACAGGCACTATACCCCAGTCACTCATACCTTCATCATGAGCTAACAGGCACTATACCCCAGTCATTCACACCTTCATCAGGAGCTAACAGGCACTATACCCCAGTCACTTATACCTTCGTCAGGAGCTAACAGGCACTACACCCCAGTCACTTATACCTTCATCAGGAGCTAACAGGCACTATACCCCAGTCACTTATACCTTCATCAGGAGCTAACAGGCACTATACCCCAGTCACTTATACCTTCATCAGGTGCTAACAGGCACTATACCACAGTCACTTTTACCCTCATCAGGAGCTAACAGGCACTATACCCCAGTCACTTATACCTTCATCAGGAGCTAACAGGCACTATACCCCAGTCACTTATACCTTCATCAGGAGCTTACAGGCACTATGCCCCAGTCATCCATACCTTCATCAGGAGCTAACAGGCACTATACCCCAGTCACTTATACCTTCATCAGGAGCTAACAGGTACTATACCCCAGTCATTTATACCTTCATCAGGAGCTAACAGGCACTATGCCCCAGTCACTTATACCTTCATCAGGAGCTAACAGGCACTGTACCCCAGTCACTTATACCTTCATCAGGAGCTAACAGGCACTATACCCCAGTGATCCATACCTTCATCAGGAGCTAACAGACACTCTACCCCAGTCACTTATACCTTCATCAGGAGCTAACAGGCACTATACCCCAGTCACTTATACCTTCATCAGCAGCTAACAGGTACTCTACCCCAGTCATTTATACCCTCATCAGGAGCTAACAGGCACTATACCCCAGTCACTTATACCTTCATCAGGAGCTAACAGGCACTATACCCCAGTCACTTATACCTTCATCAGGAGCTAACAGGCACTATACCCCAGTCATTCACACCTTCATCAGGCACTAACAGGCACTATACCCCAGTCATTCACACCTTCATCAGGCACTAACAGGCACTATGCCCCAGTCATCCATACCGTCATCAGGAGCTAACAGGCACCATACCCCAGTCACTCATACCTTCATCAGGCACTAACGGGCACTATACCCCAGTCATTCACACCTTCATCAGGAGCTAACAGGCACTATACCCCAGTCATTCACACCTTCATCATAATTTAACGGGCACTACCTCAGTCATTCACACCTTCATCTGGAGCTAACAGGCACTATACCCCAGTCACTTATACCTTCATCATGAGCTAACAGGCACTATACCCCAGTCACTCACACCTTCATCAGGAGCTAACGGGCACTACCTCAGTCATTCATACCTTCATCAGGAGCTAACAGGCACTCTACCCCAGTCATTTATACCTTCATCATGAGCTAACAGGCACTATACCCCAGGCACTCACACCTTCATCAGGAGCTAACGGGCACTATACCCCAGTCATGTATACCTTCATCATGAGCTAACGGGCACTGCCTCAGTTATTCACACCTTCCTGAGAGGTAAAGAAAACACTCATCTTCTCTCGGAATTTCATGGAATCCTGTTGCTCGGCCACCAAAAATCCAATACACCAATGCGTGGATATCAATGAATGACACGGGAACGGAGAAGCTCCTGAGCTCCGTGAAATTCCAGGCCGATCGTGATGCAAGAGCTCACGCTGAGGACAAGCCCCGAGCCAGCCGGCGGCCGTGGGTCTGCCCGCGGTGCTCCCCCCCCCCTCCCCTGGGTCACCTTCGCAGCGTTTGCCATCGTCCTTGAGCCGATAGCCGTGCGGGCAGCGGCACTGGTACCATCCCGACGGGAGCTGGGCGCACTCGTGCTCGCAGCCCCCGTTGTTTACGGTGCACAGGTTCGTCGCTTTGCCCGGCGGAGGTAGTGCGCAGAGGTAGGGAGGGGGGTGGAGAAGAGAAGGTCAAGAGCATCGCATCAGCAAAGAAAAACACAAGGACCGTCCGGGGGATAGACGACCCAACATGCTGTTGGGGTAGGTGGCTTTCTCAATGTGCGAGCACTTGCGAAGGCCGGCACAGAATCTCGATTGGAAACTCATTTATTCGGAAGAGAAAAAATAAACTGCTCTGTTTGCGTGTTTAGCTTGTTGTTCCTTCCCGCCGCCGATTAGCGCGGTCGGCAACGTACGGTGCGATAGAAGTTCAACGTACATTGACAAATTAGACGTAGATAACATCCAGGTTGCCAAGAGACTTCAAGCCCCTGATCAAATTCCCTGTCAACAGGGGGATAAAGGGCATTTGAGTTTATTTGAACAGTCAAAGTTACGTAGGTATTATTAATATTAACATTGTACCCTTCCCTGCTAAAGTACAAACATATTGCACGTTGAAAGACTGAAATTAATTGTTGAAGGTAAAGTCTCAGCCCTGCAATTTCTTGCTCAGACTACTGCTGGCAGAAGAGTGCTCCAATACATGGAGCTCTCTAAGAGAGCATGTGGCCTATCCTTCTGCATTGGCCAAACATATCGGATATGATGAAGGAAGTACCCACACTTTACCCCACCGCAAACATATCTGACAATTGACTAACTGTTTATACGCACTATAGATTACTTACATTTAAAACACTGTTGTTCATCAGACAGACGTTTTAATTGATTGGGGAGAGGAGCAGATTGCTATCTCATCTGGGGTGGCGATTCTGACATGTGACGTTTACGTGTTAAACGCGTGTTTGGTTCTCTACAAACTAAGCCGTGTCACGTGCTTCCCCCTTAGCTATAGGCCTTACACACAAGCAGATATTGATTTGTCCATACTTAGCGTCTGTGGAGATGCAGGCCGGGCTCTCTCTAGTGTTGTAGCATAGAAGCACCGTGCGACACATCACTATGCATACAATGTATACATAAAAGAACATAACTCACGTGAAATTGCATGCACAACAAACTTATTTTGAGTACACACGTGCATGTACTTAAACCACCGTTTTGCCAAACGTTATATTAATTTATTTTGCGAAAAGCCAAGATCCTTCATAAATGTCAGGCTCCTGGATAAAACACAAATGTGGAATTTGGATAATCATAAGGCACGATTTTTTTTTTCGTGAGAGAGAGAAAAAAAAAATCAAGCTTCGAATTAATTTTTGTCGGGAAATGAATTATTCCGAAAGCAAAATGGACGGAAAGAGTCGCGATTAATGATTGTGCCTCCATGTGGCGCAAGTCACAGTGAAATGGATGTTGCGTCTCATCTGCACACGAAGCACACGAGTCTCGGAAACGCCGAGCCAATTTTTCTCAACGACGCTCAAGCCCTGGCAGAGAGTCGAGCGCTCTCTGCATGAGTCCGCGCCCTTTGGGCGACCGTAACAAAAAAAAACGAAAAATAAAAAAAACCACGGCTAAATTTTGCCGTCCGCTCGCCAAAAGGCCAGAGTGCATCGGTGAATCATACATCATGCAGCTCCCCTCCCAAAAAAAAAAAGCCCTTTGCCCAAGTGTGCTGTGAACACTCAGCGCGTGATGATTCCTACGCTCTGTCCACTAGCAAATCAACGCCACTCACAGACGCCAGCTCCGTTAAATGTATAAACGTATAATGTCTGGCCTCGGCTGTTGTGTAACGCGTTACCGGACGGGGCATCATTCATTGTTATGAGTGAAGAAAAAAAAAGAACTGGAATTTTTCCGGAGGGTTCTCTGGCGTGTTGACTTGGTGGTCCCCGAATGGTCATCAATGACTGCTCACGTGATGATACTCATCGGACGCATTTGGCGTTGCTTTATTCGCCCTTCGGTTGCGTAAGAGAGGTCTGCCGAAGTGACTCTAAAAGCAGTTCGGTGGTGTCAGTGTAAACAGCATCCCAACGGCTTGACGGAATTCTCGGCAGGCGGACGGAATTCACAGAGGATGTTTATCCATGTAACTTGGCCTACGACCAAGTCACCTGTTACTGTAAGTATCTCAGCAGCTGAACCGGGTTGAGCCTATGTTATTACTGAGACGGAAAGCTGCCTGGGAATATTCGTACAGCAAATAGATTATTGAATCCATCTGCGTGGATATTTAGTGTTTTCCCCCATTTATACGCATTGGTTTTGTTCCCCCCCCCCCCACCACCCTGTGGATACTCCGGTTTCCTTCCCCAAGCTAAACACACTCATGAGCAAAATAAGCCAAAAACATCCCAATGCAGGACCCTCCTCTGCATTGAGACGTTTTATAATCTCGAGATTCAACGAGGCTGTCATAGGTAAGTAAAGAGCATTTTATATCTATATTAAGACAAAGAACCCCCGTATAGCTTTAAGAGACTTTCAGTGCAAGTGCTGTTAGTGGGCATCTAATAAGGCCAGCATACATCTTCTTTGGTTCTTTCGGTAAAGTCACGTAGAATGAGAATAAAATAATAAATTGATGAAATAAAATAACACAATAAAATTCTCACGACGTTTTATCATTTTATTATTTTATTCTCATCCTACGTGACTTTACCGAAAGAACCAAAGAAGATGAATCCTTGCAGTCACGAAAACTTTAAATCGAAATTTAAGGCCAGCATAGTACACGAGGGGGTGGGTGGCCAGTACCACGCCCGACCGCCTTTGTCTCCCCCAGTGGCGTGATTTTACACACCACACCAGGTACTCATTTGAGGTTGAGTCGACCTGGGGGAGGCCCCGGACCGGTTCAGATAATCGTCAACGGTGCTGGCCATTAGCGGGAATCGAACTCGTGTACCCCATGCTTCGTAGCGCGGCGCACTAACCGCTATGCCCTCGCTCCCCACTATAGACACACACGCACACACACACGTAAAACAAATGCATCGAATGAACGAATCCGTTTGAAGTTCAACGTATGGATTGTTAAGGGAGGAAATGCACGCACTGACGCATGTCTTGCCATCCGCGTGCAGCCGAGTCCCTGCGTGGCACTCGCAGTGGTAGCTGCCCGGAGTGTTGATACAGGTGTGCTGGCAGCCCCCGTTGTACGCCGAGCACTCGTCCAGATCTGACGCGCAGAGAAACGAACAAAAAGAGAGAGAGAGAGAAAGAGAGAAAGAAAGAAAACCCGTTCAGCGCGGCCTTTCAAAGCGATGCACTTCCCAGCTCCCTTTACTTGAGACCGGGCGAGCACCTGGAGAGATCAGACGTGTCTTCTCTTGTTTTTGTTTCAGTGTGACCTGGATAGAGGAAAATAAAAAACAAACAAACACGTCGTAACGGCAGACAGGGTTATAGTCATCTTGGTGACCTGGGTCACTCTGGCAAATGAGACCCATCCTGGTCTCCTGAGTTCTCGCCTGGTTACACAAAATAAACTGGCTGACGTAAATAAACGAAAAAGTGGTTGAACATCACGAACAGAGCAAATCGACGCTATGGTTGACCATCATTAAAGCGCACGGGTTTTTTGAGTGAATCAAATTAAATTTTAATTGGGAGTTAAACATTCGAGACAGCAGAAGCCTCCGGAGTGTAACACATTTCAAAACACAGTGTGAAACAACAAAAGAGCTACACATTCCATCAGATTTTATTCCCTTTGGGGGGGGGCAAGGCAGAGGGCAGAGGTTTAGCGGCAAAAGCACTCTCATTTTCCACCGTCAATGTTCACCACTTCGAATCTAAACCCCCGTTCCCAAGCGCTCAGCGGGAGTCACAGTGTGACAACGCTGGCCGTTTGACAAGAGATGACGACTTTAAGCCTCAAAGGCATTTTATTTTGCTCTTACGGGCATTCAGTGAAATCAACACGCTTTGCCAGGGTGAAAAGTTTCATAATAATAATCATGATGATGATAACTGTTTGGATTCATAAAGCGCCATTCATGCAAATCGCATCTCACAACCGCCGAGGAACCACAGACAAACGGGGAGGCAGCAGTGAGGCCATGAGCCGGTGCCAACAATTGCCCAAGCTCTGCAGTCCTCTCTATATATTAAGATGTTGTTTTCAGCCAGTTAATTAAGTATTATACACGTGGCAGGAAATCGGAGCACCCGCCGTAAATCCGCGCGTGCGAGGGGGCAACACTCAATCCGTATACAGATGGGACAGAGGGTCCGCACTTTGCCGAAACGCCTTCCCTTGGCATGCCAGGGCATGGCATCTCCTCAACGCACACAGGAAGGAAGATTGGCAACGTTTGTCCGGTGATCTGCCAATCCTCACCGCCTCCGCAGTGGTGGACTACAGGCGTGCGTGCATAGCCACCACCGCCGCCTGGCTATGAGAGTATCTGTTTCCGTTGTTGGCTGAACAACTCCATCCCTGAATAGCAGATCTTCCCACAACTTGGACAATCATGCCTCTCCTTAAGGGGACATCTCAGATGATGCTGGCTTGTGTCGCCTGAGCCGCCTTTCTTTGTTTGACCGGTGCAGGCTCTCTCTCCTCCACAATCTCCACTCTCTACTCCACAATTTCCACTCTCTTCTGCATAATCTCCACTCTCTTCTCAGTAATCTCAAATCTCTCCTCCACAATCTACACTCTCTCCTCAACAATAACTACTCTCTCCTTCACAATCTCCACGTTATCCTCCACAATCTCCACTCTCTCCTCCACAATCTCCACTCTCTCCTTCAAAATCTCCACTCTCTTCTCCACAATCTCCACTCTATCCTCCACAATCTCCACTCTCTCCTCCACAATCTCCACTCTCTCCTCCACAATGTCCACTCTCTTCTCCACAATCTCCACGTTATCCTTCACAATCTCCACTCTCTCCTTCACAATCGCCACTCTCTCCTTCACAATTTCCACTCTCTTCTCTACAATCTCCACTCTCTCCTCAACGATCTCCACTCTCTCCTTCACAATCTCCACGTTATCCTCCACAATCTCCACTCTATCCTTCACAATCGCCACTCTCTCTTCCATATTCTTCACTTCTTTACGCACTGCCCATCTTCACGAATGGACGATGATCCTGGGCAAGCTGCTCTCAGTTCTCAGTGGGAATGCCACACTTCTTTGAGTTGACGTGCATCAACTTGCTCAATGGGTCAGAGCTTCGGGTCATTGGGCACAACATCATTGAAGGAGCTTTCTCACTCTTTGACCTAATGTTGTCCTCACGCGGAATATCGTTTTTGTTCTTAGGGTTTTTATTTATTAAATAGGCTAAACCGTTTCTCAAGAGCAAATGCCTTTTTAAAATGTCTTCTCAAATAATATAACATACAATTGTTGTTCAACGTTGAATCAATCAAACACTTTTTTTTTTACAAAGTCGTAGACTCATTCGTGAACTTAATCAACATCAGCAATGCAGGTCAGGGAGTATTTGGTGGTTTGTAAAGAGAACATGATATCGTACAGTTATTTATTTAGTTTCAATACGTCTGTTATTTTCCACAATTTTATTGCAGTTGTGCCACTGGGGTTACAACGCGAGACAAATAATCCATTGGGAACTCTCTGAGGCAAGTCCACCACCCCTCGCTAGAGAAGGGTCCAAGGAAGAACACATCAACAAGCTCTGTCTGAGGTGCCATTACTGATCATTTAAATCCCCATTAGTGGCACTGCACTTTCCCCACACTGCCATATTTGTCTCGTGGCAAGTCAACACTGACACTTTATATTGTAAAAATTCCAGAGCTGACATATTTCTTAATTTAAATGAACATTTAATTTCAATATAATGGATTTTTGTGCGTGTGTGGAATCTCTGATGAATGGGCTGAAACCACCAACACCGTTAAACTTGTGAACCTTGTTTAAGCACATGTGACTAAAACCTGGTTCCGAACCCAGGATTTCAGCAGTGCGGGGTTAGTGCCTCTGAGGCCTTAGCCACCTGGCCAACTCCAAGAAAAAAAACTACTAAAATTAAAGACTTTCTGACAAACAAGTATCACCAAGATTGTATCGTCCTGCTAGGATGAGCCACTTGTACAGAGCATAGAATGACTGATAATACCAATTTAGAGAAATCGTAATGAGGGTAAATCTAATCTCTTTCAAGGAAATCGAGCAAATACTATTTCAGAATATTGTACTTATTAATGGAACATACACTCGTTATTGCTGCACCGTGTATTTCTGAGTCATACCGTAGGTTTATTGATCGCACCTCTCACACATATAGATATTTATAGCCAGTGTTTAATTGCAGCCAGGACAGATTGGAACACTGCTCTGGGATTTATTTTGTCCCCCCCCCACCACGTGATATATTTTTTTACATTATCGTCAACAACAACCAAAACACACTACACTGACAACAACGGTGAGTACACGCATCTAACTTGAAACAACCTGCTGCGTAGGATTACACAAGACTAACACGCACGATCGTGTATGACTATTATGGATAAGGGGGTGTGTGGAGGGGGGGTTACGTTGTGTACTCTGGTGGTAGTGCCTTAGGGCCGAGTATCCCCAACTTCGAGTTTAAACGTAAAGAACTGCCTTGGAGAGACGGACCCCCTCGGCTCTGAGAAGGAGGCCGTTTTGTTTGCAAATCCGCGTGAGCCTTTTTCCCTTGGCTCGCTAACACCCTCCTGGTTTTTTTTAGGCCGAATTAAAAAAAAAACAGAGAGAGAGAGGAGAGCAGGGGGCAACGTAGGCGGGAGTCCAGATTCTCAAACATCTTGGCTCACAGCTGTTCCAGCCTAAGTGGAACCGAACACGATATACTGCTTGCGTTTAATAACATCCCATGAAATGCGACTTAAACGCAGGCAGTGCGTAAGTGCGCGTGAGTAATCTATGCCACAGGGATATATTGGGGGGGGCGGCAGGGGGTAATGCAATAATGCAACATGAGCGGGATTCGCAGCGATGCGCCGCGTTAACTCGACGCGGCGGTGGTGCGTGAGCCACCCTGATCCAGGGCGACGCCCAAGCAACAACAAAAAGCCACAGCGGCGTTGAACCGCTGCGACAGGCAGACCACAGCCCCTAACGACCGCCTGGGCTTGTGCCGCGACGCTGCGCGGCTCTCCGATGAGCTGTCAGGCCGTGCTGCGTTTCGTTTCGCCTGGAAGCGTATTATTAAATAATACACATTACATTTTGATTTAAAGAATTACTAATCTACAACTCATTACTAATCATAATCAATGACTGATTACTAATCGATTATATAATTACAATACCACCCCCCCTCCGCCTCTAATCACTGCACCTGATATGAGTTCAGTGATGACGTCACCCTGCTGCTGCTCTATATAAAACCGGGAGCAAGCGAGGGCTTTACCATTCTGGCGAATTGCCCGATGATGCTGGATGTATTTACCAGCGAAACGTCGTACTCAAACTGTAAATGTTGTGGATTCACTCTTCAACACACTGGTGGGCTAAAGTAGTAAATTGTGTTTTGTCAACGTGACACTTTTTTTTTGCTGATTGGCCGTGTCGGGTGGTGGAGGGTTACGACACATTTATAAATAAACGCGATCTAACCCAAAAACCTTTATTATGAATAATATTGGTCGCGAAAGCCTACATGTTAAACTGACGTCCGAAGTTTTTTCCTCCACGCGCAAGGGAGATTCTTCGGGAACTGGAAGCGGGGAAGGTTTAAATCTCCGCAAGTGCCGATGCTTGTGAAATACAAAGTACAATAGTGCAGTGTACTTCAGCCGCCGCGTCGCTTACTCCCCGAGCGTATATCACGAGAAGCAAACTCTAACCCATTAGCCCAGTCCTCCTCAATCCGCCCGCTGGTTTGAGGGCATATCCGAGACCGTGCTATAATGGACCGTTGGAAACAATCACGAAAGCACTGACGTCGTTTATCTCTCGCAATCCCCTTCACCGTTCACAAAGCAGGCTCAGAAGCGGGGTTGCCACTGGGATTACTGGACAGGTGGCAGTGCAGTGCGGAGGAGGCTACTTAGCACAAACGGCTCTTGACATTCACCTCCGATTCCAGCCTCTGGCATCGTGACTGATGACCAGGATGCACCTGAGAGCACGTGTGTGTGTGTGTGTGCCTTCCCAGCTGTCCCAAAGGGGTCAATTGTGGAAGAGAAAAACTCAATGCAAAATAATTC